GCGCCAATATATTTTCAGATTACATTTTCGTAATTTTTTTATCGTCGAAAGGCCATTTTCTTTGGATATTGAATGCTACAGATCACGGATTCGGCCCGAGGGAATTCTTACACGATGGTTGAGTCCATTAAGCACCTATTTGGGCGGATTTATGCCGGGTGAGTTTTTGGAAGATTCCAAACGGGTACCATCACAGATTTCGGGCAATTTTTAGAAATTCCAATTTCTTTCAATTCTACAGGCTACAGATCACGAAATCATGCAGAGGCTATTCTCCTATGATAATGAAGTGTATTGATCTTATTCTCGACGAATGATAAGTCCATTAAGCACCGATTTTGGCCATCAATTTTCGGATGGCATTTTCGTAATTTTTGGGCGGCAAAAGGCCATTTCTTTTTATTTAAAGGTCTATAGATCACGGATTTGGTCTGAGGCAATTTTTTTAAGATGATTAGGTCCATTAAGCACCGATTTGGCGGATTTATTTCGGGTCAATTTTTGACAGAATCCAAAGGGGTACCATCACAGATTTCTGGTGATTTTTCCGAAATACCATTTTATTTCGGTTGTGGAGGCTACCAATCATGGAATCATGCTATGACTATTCTCCACCGATAATGAAGTCTATTAATCCTATTCTCCACGGATGAACAGTCCATTAAGCACCGATTTGGGACAATAAATTTTCGGATGATAGTTTCGTAATTTTTTGGTCATCGAAAGGCCATTTTCTTGGGATATTGAAGGCTACAGATCACGGATTCCGCCTGAGGGAATTCTACAACGATGGTTGAGTCCATTAAGCACCTATTTGGGCGGATTTATTCCGTGTAAATTTTTTGAAGATTCCAAAGGGGTACCATCAAAGATATCGGGCAATTTTTAGAATTCCCATTTTCTTTCGATTCTAGAAGCTTCAGATCACGAAATCATGCCGAGGCTATTCTCCACTGATAATGACGTGTATTGATCTTATTCTCCACGGATGATAAGTCCATTAAGCACCGATTTGAGCAAATCTATTTTTTGATTGCATTTTCGTAATTTTTGGGCGCAAAAGGCCATTTTCTTTCGATTTCGAGGCTACAGATCACGGATTGGTCCTGAGGCTATTCTTCGAAGATGATTAAGTCCATTAAGCACCGATTTGGGCGGATTTATTTCGGGACAATTTTTGGTAGAATCCAAAGGGGTACGTACCATCACAGATATCTAGTGATTTTTCCGAAATGCCATTTTCTTTCAATTATGGACGCTACAAATCATGGAATCATGCTTAAGCTATTCTCCACCGATAGTGAAGTCTATTAATCCTATTCTCCACGGATGATAAGTCCATTAAGCACCGATTTGTGCCAATATATTTTTGGATGGCATTTTCGTAAATTTTAGGTCGTCGAAAAGCTATTTTCTTTGAATATTGAAAGCTACAGATCACGGATTCGGCCTGAGGGAATTCTACGACGATGGTCGAGTTTATTAAGCACCTATTTGGGTGGATTTATTCCGGGCGAATTTTTGGAAGATTCCAAAGGGGTACCATCACATATTCCGGGCAATTTTTTAGAAATCCCATTTTCTTTCGATTCTAGAGGATACAGATCACGAAATTATGCCGAGGCTATTCTCCACTGATAATGAAGTTTATTGATCTTATTCTCCACGGATGATAAGTCTATTAAGCACCTATTTTAGCCAATCAATTTTCGGATGGCATTTTCGGAATTTTTGTGCTACAAAATGCCATTTTCATTGGATTTCGAGGGCTACAGATCACGGATTCGGCATGAGGGTAATCTTTGCCGATGATTAAGTTCATTAAGAACTGATTTGGGCGGATTTATTTGGGTTAATTTTGGGCATAATCCGAAGGGGTACCATCACAGATTTCTTGCGATTTTTCCGAAATGTCATTTTCTTTCAATTATGGAGGCTACAAATCATGGAATCATGCTGAGGCTATTCTCCACCGATAATGAAGTCTATTAATTCTATTCTCCACGGATGATAAGTCCATTAAGCACCAATTTGGGCCAATATATTTTCGGATGGCATTATCGTAATTTTTTGGTCGTCGAAAGGCCATTTTCTTTGGATATTGAAGGCTACAGATCGCGGATTCGGCCTGAGGGAAGTCTACGATGATGGTTGAGTCCATTAAACACCTATTTGGGCTGATTTATTCCGGGTGAATTTTTGGAAGATTCCAAAGGGGTACCATCACAGATTTCTGGCAATTTTTCCGAAATCACATTTTCTTTCGATTTTAGTGGCTACAGATCACGAAATCTTGCCGAGGCTATTCTCCACTGATAATGAAGTGTAGTGATCTTATTCTCCACGGATGATAAGTCCATTAAGCATCGATTTGGGCCAATCTATTTTTGGATGACATTTTCGTAATTTTTGGGCGCAACAGGCCATTTTCTTTGGATTTCGAGGGCTACAGATCACGGATAGGGCCTGAGAATATTCTTCAAAGATAATTAAGTCCATTTAGCACCTATTTGGGCGGATTTATTTCGCGTCAATTTTTGGAAGAATCCAAAGGCGTACCATCACAAATTTCAAGTGAATTTTCCGAAATGTCATTTTCTTTCGATTGTGGAGGCTACAAATCATGGAATCATGCTGAGGCTATTCTCCACCGATAATGAAGTCTATTAATCCTATTCTCCACCGATGATCAGTTCATTAAGCACCGATTTGTGCCAATATATTTTTGGATGACATTTTCGTAATTTTTTTGTCGTCGAAAGGCTATTTTCTTTGGATATTGAAAGCTACAGATCACGGAGTCGGCCTGAGGGAATTCTACGATGATGGTTGAGTCCATTAAGCACCAATTTGGGCGGATATATTTCGGGTTAATTTTTGTCAGAATCCAAAGGGGTACCATCACAGATTTCTGGCGATTTTTACGAAATACAATTTTCTTTCAATTATGGAGGCTACAAAACATGGAATCATGTTGAGGCTATTCTCCACTGATAATAAAGTCTATTGATCTTATTCTCCACGGATGATAAGTCCATTAAGCACCGATTTGGGCCAATCTATTTTTGGATGACATTTTCGTAATTTTCGGGCGACAAGAGGCCATTTTCTTTGGATATCGAGGGCTACAGATCACGGATTCGGCCTGAGGCTATTCTTCGAAGATGATTAAGTCCATTAAGCACAGATTTGGGCGGATTTATTTCGGGTGAATTTTTGGCAGAATCCAAAGAGGTATAATCACAGATATCTAGTGATTTTTCCGAAATTCCATTTTCTTTCGATTGTGGAGGCTACAAATCATGGAATCATGCTGAGGCTATTCTCCACCGATAATGAAGTCTATTAATCATATTCTCCACGGATGATAAGTCCATTAAACACCGATTTGGGCCAATATATTTTCGGATGGCATTTTCGTAATTTTTTGGTCGTCGAAAGGCAATTTTCTTGCGATTCTAGAGGCTACAGATCACGAAATCATGCCGAGGCTATTCTCCACTGATAATGAAGTATATTGATCTTATTCTCCGCGGATGATAAGTCCATTATGCACCGATTTGGGCGGATTTGTTTCTGGTCAATTTTTGGTAGAATCCAAAGGGGTACCATCACAGATTTCTGGCGATTTTTCCGAAATGCCATTTTCTTTCGATTATGGAGGCTACAAATCATGGAATCATGTTGAGGCTATTCTCCACCGATAATGAAGTCTATTAATTCTATTTTCCACGGATGATAAGTCCATTAAGCACCGATTTGGGCCAATTTATTTTCGAAATGCATTTTTGTAATTTTTTGGGCGTCGAAAAGCCATTTTCGTTGGATATTGAAGGCTACAGATCACGGATTCAACCTGAGGCAATTCTACGATGATGGTTAAGTCCATTAAGCACCAATTTGGATGGTTATTCCGTGTGAATTATTTGCAGATTCCAAAGGGGTACCATCACATATTTCGTGCAATTTTTAGAAATCCCATTTTTTCGATTCTAGAGCCTACAGATCACGGAATCATGCTAAGGCTATTCTCCACTGATAATGAAGTGTATTGATCTTATTCTCCACGGATGATAATTCCATTAAGCACCGATTTGGGCCAATCTATTTTTGGATTGCATTTTCGTAATTTTTGGGCGTAAAAGGCCATTTTCTTTGGATTTCGAGGGCTACAGATCACGGATTCGGCCTGAGGCTATTCTTCGATGATGATTAAGTCCATTAAGCACCGATTAGGGCGGATTTATTTCGTGTCAATTTTTGGCAGAATCTAAAGGGGTACCATCACAGATTGCTGGTGATTTTTTCCAAATGCTATTTTTTCGATTATGGAGGCTACAAATCATGGTATCATGCTAAGGCTATTCTCCACCGATAATGAAGTCTATTAATCCTATTCTCCATGGATGATAAGTCCATTAAGCATCGATTTGGGCCAATTTATTTTCGGATGGCATTTTCATAAATTTTTGGGCGTCGATAGGCCATTATCTTTGGATATTGAAGGCTACATATCACGAATTCGGCTGAGCCAATTCTACGACGATGGTTAAGTCCATTAAGCACCGATTTGGGCGGATTAATTCCAGGTGAATTTTTGGCAGATTCCAAAGGGGTACCATCACAGATTTCGGGCTATTTTATAGAAATCTCATTTTCTTTCTATTCTAGAGACTACAGATCACGGAATCATGCCGAGGATATTCGCCAATGATAATGAAGTCTATTGATCATATTCCCCACGGATGATAAGTTCATTAAGCACCGGTTTGGGCCAATCTATTTTTTGGTGACATTTTTTGTAATTTTTGGGCGACAAAATGTCATTTTCTTTGGATTTCGAGGGCTACAGATCACGGGTTCGGCCTAAGGCTATTCTTCGAAGATAATTAAGTCCATTTCTAGTCTTCCAAGGATTCTTGCCTTTTTTAGGAGAGCGAGTTTGAGCTCCCGCGGAACTTTCTCATTGTTCAGCTTCTGCTGTTTTCACCTCTTCTTCACTAGACCTCTCTAGCAACATCTCCTCCATCTCCTTTGAGTTGGAAGTAGGACTGCTTCTGGGGACCACCAGGATGATGCTTCGTCAAACACTACATTGCGTGACACATAACAGTTTCCTGTTGTTGGGTCGCAACATCTCCATCCTTTCCTTTCATTGTCATAGCCCACAAAAATGCATCGGACCGCCTTTTTGTCAAACTTGCTTCGAGCATGGTCTGGTACGAACACATAGCACACACAACCAAATACTCGGAAATGACTGACATTGGGCTTCAACTTCCACAATTTCTCATAGGGTGATACAAACCCCAACTTTGGCTGATGTAGTCTGTTGACGACATGAGCAACAGTCTTCATGCATTCTGCCCAAAACTTGGTAGGAACATTCTTTACATGTAGCATGCTTCTGCAAATTTCTGCCAAGTGACGGTTCTTCCTCTCTGCTACTCCATTTTGTTGCGGAGTACCTAGGCAGGTCAACTGGCGTCGAATTCGGTGTTGCTTGAGAAATTGTGTGAATACGATTGAAGTGTACTCTCCTCCATTCGATTTGATCTTCTTACAGACTTCGACTTCGACAAGTTCTTTGAACATTTTGAACTTATCAAATGCCTCAGATTTCTCTTTCATGAAGTCAACCCTGACATATCTTGAGAAATCATCAATGAATGTAATCATGTACTTCATTCTAGACACTGAGGCCTGCTTCACCGGTCCAAACACGTCTGAATGGACAAGCTCTAGAGGCATTTTAGACTCGAACTTTGAGTCTTCATAGGGTAGCTGATGAGCTTTCCCGTACTGGAACCCGACACATACGATATCATCACGGATATCAAGTTGAGGAAGTCCTTTGAGCATGGACTTCTTCATCATCACCTTGAGCTTCTGATAGACAACGTGTCCAAGACGAGCATGCCATAAGCTTGTTGTCTCATTTCTTCTTGTTTTGTCAACATAAGCCGCTTCTGCTGACATTACATAGACAGACTCCAGCTTCTGTCCTTGCATGATCAGATCAGAAGTTGGTTGTAAGCTTCGATACACCTTCACATCTCTAGGACCGAATACCACATAATTACCATATGCTGTCAGTTGTGATACTGACATCAGATTTTTTCGCATTCCATGGACGTGGTAAACGTTTGACAGCTCCACTTGTTGATCGCCAAACCGAGGAGTAATAAGTGTCTCGCCGATGTGGGTGATTGGCAGCTTAGAGTTGTTGGCAGTGACAACCACTCGTCCACCTTTGTACTCGGACACGTTTAAAAGCTTCTGTTCATCACCAGTCATGTGATTTGAACATCCCGAATCCACAATCCAATCATTTTCATAATCAATGACATTCTTGTCCACTGACATGAGCGCTGACTCTTTAGTGGCGCCTTTTGGAGCTTCCGTTGCAAAGGATGCTTGAAAGTCCCATTCATCATCATTCACCTTGGAAGAAGTTGCAGCGTTTCCTTCTTCCTTTTTGTTTCAGCAATCTCTGGCTAGATGACCCTTCTTGTGGCAAATGTAGCAATTGCCATTTTCTCGATCATGCTCCTTCCTGTCCTTTCCGGCACCACCCTTGTAACGGTGGTTGTAATTTTTCTGGGCTCCCCCTCGATAGTTGCCCCCTTTCTTGTTCCACTTTTGGTTCTTCTTGAACCCCTTTTGGCTACTTGTTGATGCAAGAGCCTTCTCTCCACCATTAGAGTCTTTACTTTTGCGGAGCAATGCCTTTTCCTCTTCCTTGATTGACGCCTTTGACATCTTGTCATCGAGAATTCTTCATTTGCTAGAAGATTCTCCAACTCAGCCAGGGTTGGCTCCTTTGACCACCCTCTTGTTGCTGTCACTATGCCCTTCAACTCCGGTCTCAAGCCACGAATGATGATTCTTCTTGTCCGAGCTTCTGAAATTGGATTTTCAGGATCCAGTTTCGAAATTTCGGCACAGACATTTTTTACTTTGTTGAAATATTGACCAATGGTCAATGTTTCTTAGGATAGTGACATCAATTCATTCTCCAGTCTCTGGAGTCTCGCCTCATTGGTCCTAGCGAAGATTGTGGAGAGAGTATCCCAAGCTTCCTTCGGGGATTTGCTTTCCTTGATGCGAGGCAGGAATTGGTCTTCTGTTGTGACTGCAAGGATGTACATGATCTTGTATACTTTTTGCTTCCAGTCCTCCAACAGCTTCTCATCTTTGGGTGGTGGGATGGTGATAATTTCCCTGAGCTTTTGGCCTCTGAGATAAAACTCCATACGGGTGCTCCAACTTGAGTAGTTGGTCTCATTCAACTTCTCTATAGCGGTAACTGAGAAACCCTCCATCTTCTTACTTGGTAACTTCTCCAAGTTCTCTATTTCAGTCTTCCTGAAATAACTGCAGCCTCTGACCGCCTGATGAGGATCTCGTCACTACTGGCTCTCGGTTGAACCAGTTCTGATAACTTAGCACAAGGAATCCCTTTTCTGATGTGGAAGATCGGTCGAAGAAGCAACCACAGGGCATACGAGGAATAACCTTGATACTGATAACAAAGCACAAGGAAACCTTTTTTGATGTGGAAGATCGGCCTAAACCGCAACCACAGAGCATACGAGGAATAACCTTGGCTCTGATACCACTTGTTGGAAAAATTGAATCGAAATGCTCACTAACTCTCCTATTTCTTCACCTTCCCACAACTCACAATTGCTCAAACACTCTCTACTTTCTTTCATATTTGCTTTGCTTTTCTTGGGATGAAGAAACCATACACAAACCATGGCTATTTATAGCCAAGTTCCAACACTAAATTGTGGCTTATACTTTGCCACACTTAACTACCACTTTACACCTACTTAACCCCACAAATATCTACCCATTTGTGGTTCTTTTTTTTTTTTCTTAATCCATAACTACCCACATTAATCCACACTCTAGATAACTCCACACACTTCACAACTCTAACTAGTTGTGATGTTACATTTTTTTGTTTATTAAACTTTATTTTTCAATACAATGATATTTGGGAGACTTCCACCAAGAGCACCTCCAATGCTAAAAAAATTCATGATGATATCCCAGACAAGACTGACGAATCTGAATTGAAGGAAAAGATGATCTAAGTCTTCTTCGACAACACGACAAAGTTCGCATCGACTCGCCAACACCCATCCTCTTCTCTTCAACACGTCATGAGTAAGGATTTTCCTGTGAAAAGCGATCCACATGAAGTCTACTGATTCTATTTTTAACGATGATTAAGTCCATTAAGCACCGATTTATGCGGATATCTTCCGGGTTCATTGTTGGCATATTCAAGAGGGGTGTCATCACAGATTTCAGGTGATTTTCCAATATAGCAATTTCTGTCAATTTTCGAGGCTACATATCACAGATTCCGCCCGAGACTATTATCCACCGATAATGAAGTCAACTGATCCTATTCTCCATCGATGATTAAGCCATTAAGCACCGATTTGGGCGAATTTATTTTTGCACGACATTTACGTAATTATTTGGGCGACTTTTTTTCCTCAAAAGGTCATTTCCCTTGGATTTTGAAGGCTATAGATCACAGATTCACCCTAAGACTATTCTTCAACGATGATTAAGTCTATTAAGCACCAATTTGGGCGGATATCTTCTGGGTCCATTTTTTGCAGACTCCAAAGGGTTTACCATCATAGATTTTGGGTGATTTTTTCGAAAAGGCATTTTCTATGTATTTTGGAGGATATAGATCACGGATTCCGCCCGAGGCTATTCTCCACCGATAATGAAGTCTACTATTCCTATTTTCCACGATTATTAAGCCATTAAGCACCGATTTGGGTGGATTTATTATTGTATGACATTTTCGTAAATATTTGGGCTTTTTTTTTAAAATACTATTTTCCTTAGATTTTGAAAACTACAGATCACAAATTCGGTGTGAGGCTATTCTTTACCGATGATTAACTCCACTAAGCATCGATTAGGGCGGATTTCTTCCCGCTCCATTTTTTGCATATTCCAAAGGGTACAATTTTTGGGCGGATTTATTTTCGGATGACATTTACATAATTTTTTGGGTGTTTTATTTCAAAATGAATTTTTTCTTGGATTTTGAATGCTCCATATCTCGAATTCGGCCTAAGGAAATTCCTCACCGATGATTAAGTCCATTAAACATTGATTTGGCGGATTTCTTTCGGGTCATTTTTGGTAAATTCCAAAAGTGTATCATCATAGATTTCGAGCAATTTTTTCGAAATAACGTTCCGACCAACAGGTCGGAGACCAAACTAGTATCAAATTATAATTCGATAACATAAAAGATTTCAATCGAAGGATACAATTTCACAAACATAACTAAACCTTTAATACTTGTTTTTTTTTTGTCAACCACAGTCAATTTATACGCGATAGAAACAGGCTGACGCTGGCTTGGGCCGTTCTGGTAAGCCCAATTACAGGTCCACTGGATTTCCTAGCAGCTGGACTTTATTTTGGACTATCGTCTTCGCATTTTAGGACAAACCCGCAGTAGCAGGCCGCAGTCCACGGCCACCAGCACAAAATTACTCTCCGCAATTACAGAAAAGCACTAAAAAACAGCACGTATTTACAGCTCCTCGCCACTTCCTCCATTACTACTCCATCGGTATCCCACCTTCTCCGCTCCGTCACCATTTTCGTCAGTTCGTCTCTGTCTCCACTTATCTGTTAAACAAGAGTAAAAAAAGAAAAGAAAAATTCAAACGAAGAGCTCCATGGAAATGCATCAAAGCTCTCACTCACTCCTCCTCCTCCTCCTCCACCATCTCTGACTCTTCCGATCCGGTCGCCGTCCGTCAGTCTAACCGTCGACGCTCTTCCTCCCGTCAAACCCTAGGCGAATCCGCCTCGGATTCAATGCTTCGCGTCCCGATTACAGTTCTCGCCGTGATTCGGGCCGATTAGAGCGGGCGGGGTGGAGCAATGGCGCTCGCTGATTCGTCGGAGCTACTTCAGTCTCAGCTGGCCGCCACCGCCGATGCAACTACTACTGCTACTACCTGGCTCGCGCGGCATCCGAGCACTCTGACTGACGAGATGACGGAGCAGGAGCTCACGGAAGTCGGATGCAAGGAGTTCAGCGCTTCTAAGGTAAACGGTTTCTTCGTTTACTCTCGCGTTAGGAAGAGTAGAGCAGAGGAGTGTGATGCGATGGCGGAGAAGGAAGCTCGGAGCAGCAAGAGGATCAAGTGCTCAGCGGGAGAGAATGGGGAGGTGGAGATTGTGGAAGTTGAGAGTGAGAATGGAGAACGAGGTAGGTGCGGTAATGGAGGAACGTCGCCGTGGAAAGATGAGCCGAGTGAGTCGACGGTCGAGGGAGCTGCGGCGAACGGCAGGGTGCGGATCTATGTCAGGAAAGGGTATAAGGTGAAGAGCAACAACAAGATGAGGAGGTTTACGCGTTCTTCTATGAAGAAGCGTAAGGTAAAAGAGACGGTAGAAATTGAGGTGCGTGGATCGGAATCCATTGGCAGCGGATCAGTCTCGACGATCAATGTTGAGGCGATTGGTGCCGGAGTGGAAGGGAGTGCAGTAGCGCCGCCGAAGAAGAATTTGGAGCTGAAAATGTCGAAGAAGATTGCTCCGCAGAGTCTGCCGATGACGGTGAAGGAGCTCTTTGAGACTGGTTTTCTCGAGGGAGTGCCAGTTCTTTACATGGGTGGCAAGAAGGTTCGATTTCTTTGGTATAACCTACTGGTTTTCGTGGCTTGGTTGGATTCTCCGTTTCTGTTTGGGCCGTGACATATGTCGTTTTCCCTGTTTTTGGCCTGCTTGGACTCTTTAGTTTGAGGCATTTGCTCTAAGGGGGATAATTAAGGATGCGGGGATTCTATGCTTTTGCTCTATCTGCAATGGAGTCACAGTAAGTAGAAGATTTTCTTTGTAATGCAGTTGAACTTATTAAGTGCTTTTCGGAGGGGATGAGAACTTATTGAGTTTGTGTTTGTTTTCTGTTTGGTATCCTTTTGTTTTTTGGACAATGATAGGTTGTTCCACCTTCACAATTTGAGATACATGCCATCAACCTATACAGGCGCGCATCTCAATACATTTGTTTTGAGAATGGAAAGAGCCTGCTCGATGTGTTGAATGCATGCAGATATTCTCCTCTTGATTCATTAGAAGCAACCATTCAAGAAGCCATTAGTGGTAGCCCTGTAGAGAGAACTTTCACTTGTAAAAGATGTAAAGGTGCATTCTCGTCTTCATCTTTTTATGTATAGAAATGTCAGCAGAGTGAAGTGTATAGTGTTTACAGAGGGTGTTGGAATAATTACCTTGATTCAATTTTGCTGATGCTCCAGGTAGTTTCCCCTCAGCTTGTGTTGGCAAAATAGGTCCACTTTGTAGTTCATGCACGGAAACAAAGGCATCTCATGCCATCCTAAAGTGCAAAAAGAGTAAAAGATCCAGGTATGCAAGTTCTTTCTGGTCTCCAGTCTCAGATTTTTATGTACCTGAGTTGCTGCTTTTTTTACTTCCTGATGAGTAGTTAATAGTTCTTCGTTTGATGTCGATTTGGCAAGTCTGGTCATTTGTTAAGACGGTGTTAGATTTTTGTAGGGTGATAGCTGCTTAAGCTTTACTTTTAGGCAAGGATTGAATACGGTACCGAAAAAGTGAGCGGTATGGTATTTTATGCTGAAATCGTGGTTTAATTGTGATTCAACCATTTCATATCGCTAAATACCGCCTACCGGTTTTTCTTCCGATAGGAGGTTTTTCTGGTCGAACCGTTCGTACGGTATGGTTTTTCAATCCTTGCTTTCAGGTGACAGTTGCTTGTAGATGATAGGTTGAGTAGTGACCCCATGGCCATGATGTAAGTAGGTGTTAGTAAATTGTTTTCTCCTATTGAATCCTTACGTGGAGAAAATTATATGAAGACTATTAAGTGAAAATGTAGTATAAGTATCTGAATAGCATCAATCAAAACAAAGTCGTGATGTTTTGTTGAAGAGCATAATAATTAGAATATACGAGGATTCCAAAGTACTTAGGTTTGAAGTTGTGAGGTGGTTAGGGAAATAATTAATTTATAACCAATTTACTCAGTGTCTTGAATCCTATCGACCAAACTCAGATGGAATGATCTGTTATGGCTGCCTTCAACTAATGATTTGCAAAGGATTTAAATTATCTCTTTTCAGTTTCTCTGTTCTTTTGTTTTACTAAATTTTTAACTCAAGGAAATATGCCTCTGTAACTTCATTTCCAATATCTTTTATTTGTGTGATTTCAGCTCTGTTGAACGTGTTCTCAAGTCAGAGTCTTCTAGAAGTGTGCTAACTACTACACCCTCTCAAGAGATCACTCCAAGCAAGGGGAAAAGAAAGTTAGTAGCTTTTTGTTTTATGTTTCTATGTTCTCTTCTTTTACATAAATACTATAGGACACCTTTTTATTTTTATTTTGCTTGTGTCAGTCTGTTACTGGGCCTTGTCTAAATGCATATGGATGGGCTATCATCAACTTGCTTACATTTATTTTTCTTTCTATCTTATTTCACTAGTTTGTGGTGCATGATATTCCAATCTTCCTATCTGTTGCATCTTTCAGAGTATCAGGCGCAAAACCAAAAGCAGAGAGATCCATGACTACCCCTGCTCGTGTCGCTTCAATAAAAAAGAGCCAATTGAAGATAACTCCAAAGTTGGTTTCTTTCTTTCATGTTGCCATTTCAATTCATGTTACTGAGTTTCTAATTGTTATAGTTCTGTTACTAAAACATACGAGGTCTATGATTACATGGGCTCCCTTCAATATGTAGTCTTCTTGTTTTATTCTTGCTTTGACATTTCTGTGAACTTCTTGTCTGACTTAGGAAGTTGATGCGGGAATCGGCTGGAAAGCACTCCAGAAATACCTCGTTGTCAACTAATAAGAAGGAGCAACAGAAGATCTCAATGAGGTTTGTATATTTCACACTGCTTTGCTGGGTCTCTGTTCATCTATGTCCTTGCTTTGCTTTTACACCCTTTCTATGATAGTACGTAATTTCTTTGTTTTTCTAGGTAACCAAATCTTTCCTTGCCTTCTTATTTTGTTTCTTACGTATACTTCCCAGTTTACCTTATGTATAAAAGGGCACTTGTTAATAGGAATCTGTAGTGCCTTCTAAAGATCAATAGCTCAAAACTTTATGATGTCAGTAGAGTGATCACGAATTCTTAATTTTCATTTTTCTTCTCGGTTGGCTCTTGTCTTAATGTGATCTTTCAAAATTATAAATTCCTTAATATCAATTAGAAGCACCCAAAAAGCTTGTACAGGACCTACAAGCTAATTTATTGGATTTTTCTTTGACTAGAGATCAAAGGTTGCACAGACTGGTCTTTGAGGAGGATGGATTGCCTGATGGAACTGAAGTGGGATACTATGCACGTGGCCGGGTCAGTATGCTCACTTCTTAGCTTGTTTAGATATCTTCTCCCCTATAACCGCGTAACTTTATATTAACTAGTATTCTGTACAGAAATTGCTGGCTGGTTATAAGAGGGGCTTTGGAATACTCTGCCAATGTTGTAATGCTGAGGTAATAGTGGGCTTTGAGAGCTTTATTGTTTCTTAGGCAGGGATTGAAATGCCTACATTTTTCATTCTAAATGTACAGGTCAGCCCATCACTATTTGAAGCTCATGCAGGCTGGGCTGCTAGGAAGAAACCGTAAGCTTTTTTCTAAAAGTACAAGCTTTTAATATTAAGAAAATTTTAACCCTACACATGCTGAAGGCTTTTTTGGCTTTCTTGACAGATATGCATACATTTACACATCAAATGGTGTGTCTCTCCATGAACTGGCGATATCTCTCTCCAAGCGTCGCAAGTACTCTGCCAAGGACAATGATGACCTCTGCATTGTATGTGCAGATGGTGGGAATCTGGTGCTTTGTGATGGATGTCCTCGGGCCTTTCATAAAAGTAAAGTGCAAAACTTCCATGAGAATGTAAATTTATTTACCACATTGTTAATCCTGTGTGCCTGCATCGTTTGCTCCATCTTAATTAATAATTTAATTTTTTGGCTTTATGTAGACTGTGCATCTTTGTCGAGTATTCCCCGTGGCGACTGGTATTGCCATTACTGTCAGAACATGTTTGAAAAGGAAAAGTTTGCTGCACATAAAGCCAATGCTCTTGCTGCTGGAAGGATTCTGGGTGCTGATCCAATAGAAGAAATAGCACAGAGATGCATTCGTATTGTGAAAAACATAGAAGCTGACCTTAGTGGATGCGTGTTATGCAGGTAGAAAGCCAATGTGAACTAGTTACTAAAGTACAGTAACATTACTAGTTTGATGGTTGATATGTGCCTCAGAATGAGAATCTGTTGTCAAATTTTTTTTTGCAGAGGTCATGATTTCAGCAGATCGGGGTTTGGTCCACGCACAATCATAATTTGTGACCAGGTAGTTCACTTTATTATCTCTCTCCTCACCAACTTTCCTTTATGGATATAGAAACATGGCTTTCTTTTTACCTGCTTTTTACATTTTTTGTTCCAGTGTGAGAAGGAATTTCATGTTGGTTGTTTGAGGAGTCACAAAATGGCCAATCTAAAGGTGTAATATCTAAATTGTGGTGTTTTGTCCGTTTGTTATCTGCTGTATTATGGTATTCAGTACTCAAAATCGGCATACTCATGCTTATGTGATAGGAATTGCCGAAAGGAGAATGGTTTTGTTGCTCGGACTGCAACAGCATTCATTCTTCTCTGCAGAAGTTGTTAAGTCGTGGTGCTGAGAAACTCCAAGACTCTGTTTTGAATGTTATGAAGAATAAGTACGTGGAGAAAGGCTTGGGAACCACTGAGAATTTTGATGTTAGATGGCGAGTGGTTAGTGGAAAATTTGCTTCCCCTGAAAATAAGCTGTTGCTGTCTCAAGCTCTCGCGATCTTCCAGGTATTGGTTCTTAATATTGTAAAGCGGATGAATAGTTCTTGAAAGTTAGATGGAAGAAATGTGTATATGTCAACTTATATTTGAATTCTTGTTCTGCTGAAACAAGGAGAAAATTTGAATCCATTTTAACTTCAATTTCTGGATTTATGGTTGGCAGGAATGTTTCGACCCCATTGTAGATTTAACAACTGGCCGTGATCTGATTCCATTAATGGTCTATGGGTAAGTACTGCATTTTCTTTTGTATTGTTCTTCGATTGCGATTTTCATCCCTTACAAACCTCCATCAGCCTGATGAGCTTTCAAACTTCGTTTCTCAGGAAGAACTCCAAAGGCCAAGATTACGGTGGAATGTATTGTGCACTACTAACAGTCAAGTAGGCCCTATTTTTCACATAAACCATCCACTTTTTTGGTTGCTATTGAGTCCCAAGAAATCACATTCCTTATATTCCCTAATCCTTGCAGCTCTTTCGTTGTGTCGGCTGGAATACTGAGAGTTTTTGGACAAGAAGTTGCTGAGCTTCCTTTAGTCGCGACTAATAAAACTAACCATGGCAAGGTGAGAGCTCTCAGCAGTGCATGCATTTCCTTAAGAGGCAGAAAGAGGCTGTGTTATGAATGGAAACCGTTTCTCTTCTTTTCGCAGGGATACTTCCAGTTGCTATTTTCGTGCATCGAGAAGCTGTTATTGCTCTTGAATGTGCAGAACCTCATCCTCCCAGCCGCGGAGGAAGCGGAATCCATATGGACCCATAAATTCGGTTTCCAGAGAATTGAACCAGACCAGGTACGAACGAACCTCACCATCTCCCTCCCTCCCTTCCTTCGTTGCAGAAACTTTGTCCGTCTCCTCTAATCCTTCCATCTCTCGTGCAGCTAATCACGTACCGAAAGAACTGCTGCCAGATGGTGTGCTTCGAAGGGACGACGATGCTGCACAAACCAGTTTCCTCCACCGATTGTCGAATCCTCGACCAAAGTAGTAGTAAAGAGGTGGTCTCATGAAGAAGTGGAGTGAATTCATTATCATTAATTTTTATCTTGTAAAGGGTGAAATGAGCTTATTAGCCAGCTTTTCATGTCCAAATTTTATTGGTAATTTTTCAGGATGTATGTTGACTTGACTTGTTTAAGTGTATAGACTTAGGATCATTTAGGGGGAGGGGGAGCAGTACATAGTTGACCAATGACTACTAAGAGACTCCTTCCCTACCTATATCGGAACGTAGAGCACACCCTAAAACAGAAGCTTTGCTTCCACTTTTAGCTCAGTTCATGTATTCAAAGCTCTTGATATGCTTCCCTTGTCGAATTTGTGACGAGATCTGAATCTCGTGAAAAATACGATGGCCGAAACTGCTTGTGAGCTATAACCCTCGCCTTCGTGTCGAGGATTGCATCAAGTTGGATTTTGGCGAGTCTATTAGGTCACTAGTTTCTGGTTTAGGGTTTGAAGTAGATGTACCGTAAGATGATTCTGAGCTAGAGTCTACTATGCTTAATGACCAAAGACAAGACACCGTTATGGTACGAACTCGAGTCTGGTAGCTAGTTCGTATCGTACAATTGTTTAGCAAATAATATATGTGTTTGATTCATATCTCCATAATCATCCCTAATCATTTCCTTGTTATCCCATCTGCAAGCAATGAGAAATATATGAGCCAGCCACCACCGGCCAAAATTCAAAGCACTAACTCACCTTGTTGAAATTTCTAATGGCAGAGGAAGGAGATTAGCCCTTCTTTCCTTCACAACTTTCTCCCTTCATCATTGTGTACATCTCCTAAGCAAGATCTCTCTTTTCTCTCTTCACCTTAGCGTATGCATTCATCTTCCATCCATTGCATTTCACATGCCCTCCCTTCTTTCCTCTGCCTTTTTCTGCCTCCTTTTCATCCTCCACCATCACTTTCCCATAATAAGAAACCCAATAACAACAAGGAAACAAAAGGGCAAAATGTGCGTGAGAGAGAAAGAAAGAGAGAGAGAGTCCCATGCCCACAATTTTGACATAGTCCCCTCCCTAAATGGTCAAAATAGATTCTGGACGAGTAACAAATCGGTCGTTGAACTTTCATTGTTAACAAATTTGTCGACGGAGGTTGGAATGACGATCACATCATCCATCTTGATAAGCTTTTTAGTTCGTATTGTCCAGATCAACACCTCAAGCCTCTCAAATCAATACAAAAAATGTCGTGCAAGCACTAACTTGAACGAATTAGCACAACTGATTTGGACAAGTGGGACGAAAAACTCGACGATTATGGATTTGATTGGCAATTCCAGAACTTCGGTGGCCATTGGAGTAAACTTACCCTTTATCTTTCCTGCCACGCCAATCCACACTCATCATCTCCCTCCAATTCCCTCTAAAAGTATTGAAATTTCTCCAAAGGAGTAGAACCCAAAAGCTATTTAACCAACACCTCACAAACAGAAACCAGTCTCATCTTCACAGTTCACACAAAGCAACAATGAGACCACTCAACCAAACACCCACGTTCTGGCTCTTTGCCTTCTCTGCCTTCATAGCTCTCGTCTCATTGCTCTTCCTAATCCCTTTCCCTTCTCCTTCTCCACCTTCTTCTACATCGACATTTCCATCAGTTATCAGTCCTTCCAGCAGCCACCACCACCACCATCACCATAAGAGAAAGCCTGCGGTGGCGTGCGACGAGAGCAAGTGGAGGTCCAAGTTGATATACCTTTACCAAGTGACTCTGGTTTTGACTGTGGACCAGAAAGGCTGCGCCAACTTCAGCAGTGTTCAGAAGGCTGTTGATGCTTCCCCTGAGCTCAGCGCTTCGACCACCCTCGTCTTGATCGATTCTGGGACCTACAGGTTTTTGTTGTTGTTGTTAGCTATAACCCTCTCTCTCTCTTCGAATGTTTTAAGAGTTTCGAAACGAAATCTTATTTACAGAGTTTTTGAAAATGATAAAAGTTTATCAAAGGATACGTTTATTCAGATAATAACTGTAATTATTATAAAATGTTTAAGAATGATTTGAATGTAAGATTGAGAGGTTGGATTGTGTACTCTAATTTTATGAAGATAAAAGATTTCTAATGTGTTTGACTGATTAAAAAGTGAAGTACAATCCACTCATTTGATAGTTTATAGATGTCTCAATATCTTATTTCAGGGATTTCACAGTCTAAACATTTTATAATCTTAAACACTATTGGCTAAGATTTGTACTTTGGTACTTCCATAATTAATACAAGAGACAATGCATCCAAAAAGACATTAATAAGAGAATCTACTTCCATTAATAACCACTTTAAAATCCAAACGGATTTTAATTTGGACAAAATATTTAGATTTAAACATTAAAAATTAACACAATTATTTCTTATATCATTCTCTAACGCTTTGTCTCCCTGTTTTTTTTACATAGGGAGAAAGTGGTGATATATGCAAACAAAACGAACTTGGTATTCGAAGGTCAGAACTACCTCAACACCGCCGTTGAATGGAATGACACGGCGGATTCCACCGGAGGCACGATTTACAGCGCCTCCGTCACCATTTTGGCTCCCAATTTTACCGCCTACAACATCAGCTTCAAGGTATACAAAAAAAATTATAATAAAGAGTTACCCAAATCCGAACTCAATAAGGATTACCCAAAACAACAAAGCCTTATCCTCTTTTCTGGGAACACAAAAGCAGAATTCAGCTCCTCCGCCGTCGCCGGGCGATTCAGGAAGACAGGCGGTGGCGGCGCGAGTAACAGGGGATCAATCTGCGTTCTACCGATGTGGGTTCTATGGCGCTCAAGACACGCTCAACGACGACCATGGCAGGCATTACTACAGAGCATGTTTCATCCAAGGCTCCATCGACTTCATCTTTGGACATGGAAGATCGCTTTTCGAGGTATGTTAAATGCAGAAATTGAATTACCTTCCGGAGGATTCTAGTTTCCATCACCAATGCACCCAGAATCGCGGTTTAAAATTAAAAAACATACTTGCCTTTTTATTTTTTCGTGTCATCGGAATGCTTCTGTATAGAATCACATTGTCCTTTATATTTTCGTGTGATCAGAATGCTTCTGTATAGAATCACATTGTCCTTAACTAATGTAGTTAAAATCGCATTTTAAAAATTTAAAAGCTTATACTTTTACAATTCTATGTTACCAAAAAGTGTCTACACGTACAAACGCGCTTTCCGCTACACTGTCCATGACCAACTCCGATTTTGGGCGTATCATGTTCTTGATTACGGATGGCAAAATGGACCCACAATTTGGGTATTCCCCAAACCCAACCCATTATGAGTCAAAAAATTAAGTTTGTGAAATATTACTTGTGGGCCATACCTATATCCATACCCAACCATTTAGTTTGAGTCTAAATTAGATTCATTAATTGCCTTGGCTACCTAAAAGAAAATGAATACTCAACTCTAATGTGATCTTTTACATTTTTCTTTATTTGAAAACACCCATATTAAAGATGTGAATTAGTTTAAGGCAGATAAATAGATGGGAAATATTGTTGAACTATTCATATGTATAAAAATATAGACCCATTTGACCCAAAGAGACTCTCACCCAAATTGGACTCAATTCACACCCAAAATTATTAAGACTACATATGAGTCAAATTTGAATCTAATCCATACCCATATGGATTACCCAACCCATTCTTAATCTTCCCTCGCTTTGATGCAGAGCTGCACGATCAACTCCATCGCGGAACCGCCAACATCAGGAACCACCGGAGCAATCACGGCTCAGGGGAGGGACGCCGCCGGCGAGGACTCCGGGTTCTCGTTCGTGAACTGCAGGATCAACGGAACAGGGCAAGTGTGGCTGGGCAGAGCATGGGGCCATCGTGCGACGGTGGTGTTCTCGAGAACGTACATGTCGGAGGTTGTGTCGCCGGACGGTTGGAACGACTGGAGAGACCCTTCTAGAGATCAGTCTGTGGTTTGATTCCCTTCTAAACACAACAGTGTTTTCTCAACTCTCTCTCTCTTAGATTGACTTTCAGATTTAGGCATGCATGGTAATATATAATTTGTTAGATAGGGTTGTTAATGCAACGGGTGGATTGGGTCGGTTTTGAATAGGGTGCGCATTAAGATACCAAATTAATCATGTTAGTGATTAGTTTAATTGGGTTACGAGTTAATCGAGTTGCAAGTCAACCAGATTATAAGTTAATTTATTGGATTGACGGCTAATTAGATATGGAGTATAGTGAGTGATGGTTATTTGATTTCGTTTTATCTGCTTCAATTACGAGAATGTTTGATTCAGTTGTCTTTGAATTGAGCCCCGACTCGCGAGTTTGATTTTGTTAGCCACTAATTGAGGTACTCAATAATATATAGGACTGATTTAAGCGGGAGAAGCAGAACACTGAGGACATTTACTATATGGCATTGCCTAATTCCTCTTTGTCAACCCAATCCCAAAAAAATAAATTGGGGGTGATATGATCATATTATATATCTCGATTACATGAATAGTCAATAAGATACTAGTTAATCGAATTGCATGTTAAATCTCTCAAGAATTGATCAGATTTTGATCTTTCTAAATTACTACCATGCCAACCTTTTTTTAGTCAAAACAAAGTATGAAGAAACACCTTATCATTTTTGTTTTCATTGTTTTTTTGTTTGCCATGGCAGGACAGTTTTCTTTGGAGAGTATGACTGTTATGGCCCAGGAGCAAACTACTCAATGAGGGTGTCATATGGGAGGCAGCTGACCCAAGATGAAGCTGCTCCATTCATGGATGTCTCCTACATCAATGGAGATCAATGGCTTGAAGCTGCCAAAATTGCTCCTGTGGTTCCTAATCATGACGATGGTTATGATAATTTTATCGGAGCATTAGACATGTAGAGAGAACGAACTCTACTAACGAACGGCACATAACTTCTGCGACATCCAGATAATGTGTACACTTGATTAGCTTATTGATTTATGATACGATACTGTTGAGATCTCTTGAATCTCGTCTTATTAATAGAACCAATCGATGAATATGCCTAGCTAACTAGCTGGCATTATACAAGACTAAAAAAAGAGTTCATGCGGATTGGTGCATATATTTTCTCTAGAATTTGTGTACCTCGAAATTCGAGCTGGTTCAGCTCTAGCGAACAAATCGAGCCGTGATCAGCCCGCGCGACCTCTAATAGTGATCAATTGAGATTGGTTCAAAATAGATTTTTACTCTTTTGCAATATTAATATCATGAACTAGTGTTGATAAACAACCGAGAGATAACATAATTGAGTTACCAATTTCAACTACGAAAACAGAGCTCTCATAATATTCACCAGCAACCACCTCCCAGCAAACCAACTATACTATTATTTCTGGAACTCTAACACGGTGTGAAAGTAATCCACAGAGTGCAACGCCCTGAAATTGGAGAACCCAACGGCCAAGCCAAGCTGCTTGAACTCTTCCTCGGTCCTGTGCTTGCCTTTGGCCCTGTAGATCGTCATCACGAATATGTCCCCTTCCAACAGAGCTCTCGTCCGGTGACTGTCGTCGGAATCCTTGGGCAGCATCGGCTCGCAGGCTATCAGCTTCCCTCCTTCCGGCAGGGCCTTGTAGCAGTTCGACATGATCGCCTTGCATTCCTCGTCGGTCCACGTCGTCAGAATCCACTGCATTAATTGTTCCCCAAAAAAAAAACATTTACAAAATACAACGAAGAAATATCAGACAAAAACATTAGGGATGACACTGGGTCGGGTTTTGCAAACACAAACCCAGCACAACAGGTATTCACGGGCGCATAGTACTCATAAGTTTACGAATATAATAATAATAAATTATTTCTTCGAATACCCACGTCATAATATTTATTGAATTTTTTTTTTTTTACAAACATATCTTCGTAAAGACTACTAAAATGAATTAATTATTCATATACTTAGGATGATATTGTCATGAAAACTAATAACACCCATAACTCATTCATCTTATTCTGATTAGATACTAAATGGTGTCGTTTTGCTTTATGGATGCGGGTCGTGTTGGAAAGCGGATTAGGTTTTGGCAAAACCCAAACCTGACCCAATCCACCAATTTCAAAAGCTGATAAAACCCCTCACCCGACCCAAAAACCTATCAACATTGGGTTTTACCTGCTTTGACTATATTAGTTCAGGTTCAATTGTCATCCCTACTATCAAAAAAAATGAAGATAATCCGAAAAACAACATTTAACAGATGAAAAGTAGAATTCGATCTTATCTCAATTCGCTCTCGAAGTATGGAAAGAGTCAAAGAGATATGTGAAGTAAACTGACCTTCATGAAGATGGCATCACCATTAGGTATGGACTTGAACATGTCGCCACCAACATGAGTCACTCCTGCGCCCATTTCAACACCCACCAAAATAATTTGCATTTATCAATTTTTTACAAAATAATATTATCTAAATCTCGTCACCGATTAGATTTCTTTATTTATTTATTAAGAGATTAATAATTGCTGACAAATGATTCTCACCGGGAATCGCTGGCGCTTTGGCCACGACTTCGGGGAGATCGAAGTTGATCGCTTCGAGGACGTTGGGATGCTTGCGTAGGATCATCCGCAGGCAATCCCCGCCGCTCCCGCCGACGTCGACCAGCCTCCTGACGCCGTCGAACCCGTCGTAGCCGCCGTCGAGCATGGACCTCATGAACGGCACGGAGACGCCGGACATGGCCTTCTGCATCAGCTCGTTCATCTCCGGCTGCTTCCCGTAGTAGCTGTACGCCGGCTCGCCGTTGGCTTTGGCGAACGGCTCCGTCGTGGGGTCCACCACCGCCTCGTGCACCAGCGGCCACGCCCTCATCAGCGCGCCCTGTTTTACCGGCCGTCAGTTCTTGACCAGTCAATTTTTGAGTTTGCCGCCGCCGACCCAATAGGAAGATAACAAGTGGCAAGGAAATTAAAAGAGGGGAAAGTTCGTACTAGTCCTGATAATTTTCATGAATTGATCATTTTAGTACTTTTTTTAAGTTCTACATTTGTACACTCTAACAAGGACAATAGTTTAAAGAGGAGAATTGTGCTTTTGAAGAAGACTACACTAATAAAGACATAACACAAGTCATGTCGGGTTCGATCTCAAGGTTAGGAAATGAAAATAGGAATCCGATTTCGACGTTAAAAGCCATAATAGAACATAGTTTAGTTAGTTCTGCTTGTGTTTTAAAATTAAGTTGGAGTAAAAATATGAAATTAGAATCTCGAGTTTTGAAGTTACGGCATGCGTAGGAAGGCTAGGTTAATTAATTCCAATGTAGTATAAGATAGTAGTCTAGTACATGGTAGAAAACTAGAAAGGTAAACTCTCATTCCGAATTTGGTAATAATCTTTAGATGGAAAGCTAACTGACACGAATACCCGACTCCCGACCTACCAGTGTGAATCGTCTCACTTGTAATACTATCACATGACCTAACCATTCATTCAAGATTCACATTTTGATAGGCTTTTCAACCACTTCTAATCTTCTGTAGTTAATACTCCAAAATAACCAAGTGGGAAAACTTAACTTAGTAGGATTCAGACGACATTAGTGAAGCTAAGGTATCAAATTGTCCTCTCGCCAAAATATGGTGGCAAATTCGTAATAATACCTGGTGGTGCTGGAGGACGTACGACCCGTAGGAGAGCCCGTCGGCATCCGTGACGAGAGTCCTCCCGACCTCCGTCAACGAGTACTTCCTCTCTCCGCCACCACCGGCGGCAGCGACAATATGCTCGTCGAACACACCGTATGAGGAGAGCAATCGGAGAATCCGCTGGAGGTTCTCCGGATCACTGGCGGAGGAAGAAAAGGTACAGGGAGGGAGGCGGGAGAGGATCTCGGCGGCGGACAGAGGGGCGTTCACTCCGCCCTGCCACACGGCGTCGGCGACGTTGAGGCGGACGACGGCGTGAAGCGACATGGGGACGCTGATCATGTTGGCCAGCTCGATTATCGCCAGCTTGGCCTTCTTCCGGCTCTCCGAGCTCTCGTCTTCCATGGCGGCTTCTCTCTCTCTCTCTCTCTCTCTCTCTCTCAATTCGTTTCTTGAACTTCTCCCTTTATTGAAAAACGAAGCCGCGAGAGAGATGGCGATTTGATTGGATAATGCGAATGGCTTTGAAAACGAGCGTATTTGGCAGCTACCGCAGCTCAGTGGCGCCAGCTTTTTTGCGGAAACTCATAAATACTCACGTGTGAGGTTTACTTCCCGATTTAGAAGGGCCGTGTTTGGGTCGTGAATTTGGACATGTGGATTCTTTCTCAGAATCCATTAGTTGGTGGATTTCGAGCCGAATTCGTGTTAAATGATGGTTGGATTCTAAATACCAGCTAGGAGCAGCTGACATTCTGAAATCCATAGACTTCTCGACCTTGTTTACCTCGCCTTTTATCATTCATTTCATGTCGATTGCCAATAGAGATCGGCTTGGCAACAGGAAATTGCAGAGTGATGTGATGGGGTGATTTGCTCTTGCAATGCCGAAGGCAACACAACTCAGCTTAACTCCTCAATAAATGTGCTTTGGAGTCGGTGATCTAGCGTCATAAATCTGAACGAGAGGGGCTAAAAAACCATGCTTGAGAGAGATCTGAACCATGGTGACTAGGGAGGGAGCTAGAGCATTACCTACCTATTGAAAGTTGAGTGGCTAAGTCAACATTGCTTCGACACTGTTTCGGAGCATTAGTAGCGACTAGACACTTAAAACTCAATATTGCTGCCTCTTATCTAAGAGACAAAATGCAGGTATGGATCTGTAATTTCCCCGACTTGCCGAGCTTACAGGAATAGAGTATCTATGTACAATTCTGTGACTTACCGTGAAGGAGATGATGAAGCTAACGATGCTAGCTTACTTTGCCTCCGGCTGAGCTTCATGTACAGTCCCTGTCAACAACCAATAAAGTGTATAATCCTTGAGTAAAAGATCTTTTACCAAAACTGTTGTCATAAAGATTCTGCAGTTGAAATTCCAGTAAGACTTACGTTAGTGGTGTGTATAGTTGCTCCCGTTGTCATGTTGATTTTCTGATCTGGGACGAGCTCGAAATTCATGTTTTGGAGAAAGATAGAGAGGGCGACAATGGCTTCCAGCAAAGCAAACTGGTCGCCAACACATTTACGCGGTCCTCCACTGAATGGAATGAACCTGAAATGTGTAACACAGCAAAGTTCAGACATCAGAATCACCTGGATGCTATGCAAGTGAGGAGTTGTAGAGACATTAATTCGTAGGAAGAAATACCTGAAATCTGTGTTTGATTCATTTGGTAAAGGACCTTCTGTGCCGAATCTCTCTGGGATGAACTCTTCTGCTCTATCCCACACCTTGGAAGAGTCAGATTAGAACGTCAGCAACTTTATACATGCAGGGCACACATCAAGGCACAGCAGGCTCAAATGCAAAGGCTGCATCTTGTATAAAGCGGGGATTCTGGGAAGCGTAGAATGCAATCTATTACCTTAGAGGAGTGATGGATATTATACACTGAAATCATTATGTCTTGACCAGGATTGACCTTGTAATCGCCTGGAAGCACATCAGGAACTTCAGCTCGTCTGATTAGTACCTGGAAGAGGGACAAGAGTAGTCATAAACAATTTGGACAGTGGCTATACATGCGACTTCATCTTCTCCCTTTTCTTTCTGCATATCCAGTTTAACTGAAATTAAAGCTAGGAAAAAAATGCAACCTACAGGAGGATGGGGATAGAGGCGCATGGACTCAAGTATGCAGAGCATCAGAAACTTTAGATTCTTTACGTCTTCATAGGTAGGGGGTCTTCCTTCTAATACTAGATCAACCTCTTGTTGTGCCTTCGTCAATGCAGAAGAGTCCTGCAAGAATTAATATTAGATGCAGAATGGCTGAACATTGCTTGTATGGTTTTTCAGCATCAAAAGATCATACAATGCGGAGCAGCTGACATATGCAAACCCACAATCTTCACATAGGATTTGGCTTTTGAAAGAGCTAAAAGATAACCCTTTTGTATGTAATGGGATCCAATATAATCAACACCAAAAACCTTTAACTTAATAATTGAAACCGAATAGAAGTATATTTCCATTTGGTCCCATTCAGTCCGAATATCATTTCACTCCAAGTCAGTCCAACATGCATGAGTCGTTGACCCCTCCTTATTCCTTTTATACCAGAGTCAGGCTTTGACGTTCAATTTGTCACCCTAATGACTAAACACAAGCATTAGAGTATCAACAGATGACATACCTTGCTCAGAAGGTACAATGTCCAGGTCAATACTGATCCTGTTGTCTCGTGTCCAGCAACTAGCATTGATAAGAGATCATCTCGTAATTGTTCACTCGAAACCTACATCAACCGGTTCAGCGGCAAGGTAATGAGCTACAGCACGCATAAAATGATAAAGAGGAAGAAAGCAAACTATAAATTATGAAACCCTATTGTCTTACCTCTTCTCTGCTAGCGAGCAAAAACCGAAGAATGCTTGGATCAGCATCATTAACATATTCCTCCCCATCTATCCTCTCACCCTCACTTTCCACAATCTCTTTACACTTCGCAATCAGCTCTTCCACAGTTTGCCTTATAACTGTAACAGCTCTCTCAGCTTTAACTTGTCTTGGTATTACCTTGCACAGAGGCTTAATCTGTAACACAGACCACAACCATCAAAATCCTGAAGACAACATCACAATCCACACACCAAGAAGATCCAAATGAACACTCGCCTTCCAATATGGCAACAGATCAGTGGAACGAGCTTCTGCTTCTTTCAGAGCAGTGTAGACAGCATCTATAACTGGGCTATCAGTATTCAGAGCGTCGAAATTATAGTTAAACACCGACAACCCAATTACATCGAGAGTCAACTGGGAGAACTTGGCTTCCATGTTGACACCATTGCCACTCATAGCATCAGCTTGTAGCTTGTCCACCATTCTCTGAGCACATTTGCAGAACACCTTGTCGACAATCACAGATAGATACCTCTTGTGCAGAGATGGAACCACTGCCCTCCGCCTCGCCTGCCACGAAGCACGAAATCAAGTCAATTTGCCGGAAATAGTACAAGATTTCATTATTAAACACAAGATACAACGAGACTGTGCAGGATTCAAACACGAAGCACAATTCATTACCGTCCACAGCTGGCCTTCGGCAATGGCGAATCCCGACCCGAAGAGGAACTCGGAGACCTCGGCTACGAGACCTTTCGCATACTTAGTACCGTAATTCCTCAAAACGTGTTTGGCAATCGCCGGGTCACTAACAATCACGAAATTCCTGGGGCCGGCGGCGAGGCGGTAAATCGGTCCGTACTCGTTCATCCATTTGAACAGAGGGAGAAAGAGAGCGCCGCCGAGGAGGTCGCTGACGTCCTCGAGCTTCGCAATGGCTATGGGGATGCCGGAATCGTCCTTTTTGCCACCGAGAGTTAGTGAGCGGGTCAGGGAAGTGAGCCAGTCAGGACTAACCCAGGAGCTCTGCTTGCCGGCGGTCGATTTAGGGGTTTTCTCATCCAGTGAGGCTTTGATTGTGAGACTGTAGGGTTTTTTGGCGCAGTAGGAGCCATTTTTGAGCTTGTGGATAGACGACCAGCTGCTGGTGGTGGTAGTGGTGGGGAAGAGAGAAAGAGAGGGCGGAGGAGAAGCTACGGCTGCGAACGCCATGGCAGACGGCGGCCCTTCTCGTCGGCGAACTCCGTTCCAGAATTCCCGATTGCCGATTTAGGAATTCGCTGGCCGTTCGGAATGAATGGCGCAAATTTTGATTCTTTTAGTTTGTCCTATCCTTTCAATTTTTTTGAATTTTATTTATTTATTTTCAACGGAGCATGCGAGATGCGTGAGTTACCGTTACCGCGGCCTTTCGGCGGTAAAAGGTAAAAACACACCAAAGTCCAAAGTAGCCTTTGGAAATTGATCATCATCCATCACCAATTCACCATCACCATCACCATCACCATCACCATCTACGACGTCGTACAAAGTTACAGCAAGGTTTCAAGAGCAGTAATGCAGGATATAGGCTTCTACTGCCACGGTGGTATGAAGTTTGTGTCAATTTTATACGTAGCATTTAGTATCCATACAACTGAGACCATTTGAATAGTTCATATTATATTATCAAAATGATGATTATGAGGCGGGTGACTCGCATAAACCCACCTGAAATTGGGGTTTAGATACAGGACACTAGATGATTGACACAGCCAGAAAATTCTTCAAATTAAGAGTATGCTAAGCCATCAGAACCACCGAGGGAAGTGTTTGAAGCAAATGTAAAGTCAAGAATCAGAATCAGATCCTGAACCTGAATCCATAAATGGTGGCTTGACCCTGTTCATGTTGGCTTCTAATGGTGGCAACCCATCATCATCCTCCTCTTCTTCTTCATCGCATGAATTGAGCTGATTTGCTTCTTGGCTTGCTGCTTCTGCCTGAGCTCTTCCATTGATATTATCTTCCTTGAAATTTTCAGGCCTGCAATTTTAGGCCAAATATATATGACCCCAGAGGGCAAGAGCGGCAAAAGAAAACCAAGAAAGAGTGATATTTGGGGTAGAGATATGTTAGGAATTACAGACCATTCAGGAGATTTCTGAAGCTTGCGGACATGCTCATGGAACAAAACTCGGCTAACCATGCAGGTTACCTTGCTGCCTGACTCGATCGCCTTTTCCTTCCCACTTCCATCGACAACTACAAAGCTTCCTGCCAGTTAACAGTGCAGCAAGTAGAAGTAAAGCAACTGACAGAGTCGAAAGAGCTAGTTTGATCCAATTTGAATGATTCAGAAACAAACCATTCTTGATCCACATGCTCTTCTGAAACTTAGCTGGAAACAAAGCCAGGGACTTCTCTCCATTTGTGTCCATCACCTGGAACAATACACACACCGCATTAACACTCAATTTAGCAGAAAACCTAAGCTATTTACCCCAGCAAATGGAGAGCAGACCTCGATAAGGTTGGAACCTCGGAGAGATAGCACTCGCATGATGCTTTGACCATCCTGAATCGTTAAGCTATCTTCATTTGCTGCTGCCCTCTTCAAATTCTTCCTTCCTCCCTTCATCTTTCCTTCATTAAACCCATTTCAACTGTAATCAATACGCCGTTTCAAACTTTAACGATCTTTCCCTTGAATGTACAGAAAAGAAACAAACCCACATCAATTTCGACAACTTAAAACCATCAACCGTTTGGAAAGGATTCCATGACTGCATTTGGTGATTTGTTATGGACCGTTCTAGCTACGTACTAAGTTTAAGCCTTCCATGCCTACAAACTTTCTAGTATCATACTACTTGCAGGCTTGCAGTTCCATCCCTGATACTGCCACTTATTCTAGCACTCTAGTTTGAACTATTCAACCCTGAAATTGGATTCGATAAGCTAATCATAACAAGCTAGCAACACCAACTATAGCCATGCTGCTGAGATATATATAACACGTTGAATCTACCAATGAGCATAGTTTCAGAGTTCCTTACTCTGATCATCCGTAACAAGACGAAATCAGTACGGTTTCTCCATTTCCAACCATCCAAGCGAACTTCATTCTAATAGGATTCGGTTTCTACTAGAGTTCTCTCGTGTACCTTTCAATGCAACGCCTTATCAAATTAGGACAGTAAGCCTTTCTCCAGGGTCTGCTACAGCCAGCAGGTAATTGACTACAGATACGGCAGCTCAAAATCTTGACAGGAGTCTAGATTCATGGCGGTTTGAGGGCTTCCAATTCCAAAGAAACTAATCAACAATCCCGGCTAGCAAAACCTAAAACCGACGATTTCCCGAATTCCACCAATACGGAAACAACCCGAAGCAACGGAATCAAGCAGGGAAGACGAGAGAAAGGAATACCTTTGAAACTCAATTCGGCGCAATCCTGCAATCTTTCTCCCTTCTCGCCGCCGGCCTTTTCTTCTGAAGCTTTTGGTAGTTTCCTCCGATGTTGAGTGTTCTGACGACCTCTGAGTCGGCGCTGCTGCGCGCTAGAAATGTTGGCGGGATTAATCCTTATGGTTTCAGGTAGTGGGCCTGTATGGTTTGGTTTTCTTGGGCTCATCCTTTTTATTTATGGGCCTTTGCTTTGTCTTTTGAGAAATCGGCTTGGGCTATTTTGTTGTCTGGTCCAAATTGACTTCTGGTCTCCCTTTTCTCTTCACATTTGACTAATAACCGTGGAGAGTGAAATGCACGATGACTTCTTTTTTCGTTGGTTTAATAAGCTTTGGCTAAATGTCAAGGTACCTAACGAGGAGATTTTGCATTATTGCCCCATAGCTTCTTAATAGTAACGTTTAGAAGACCAAAGTAGTTGGACCACATGAATGTATATGTGATTATTTGTAGATGCAAGTCACCACTCAATTATTTAGCTATCCTTATCGAATAATTGGAGATTGATTGAACGATATGGGTGCTAAAAAAAACTTTGGACTATGATCTTCATGCCAACCGAGCACCATTCAAATATTATCCACAATTTTTGCTACATTTTTCTTGTCATAACGAAAGCATTATGAATTCTACAATGAAAAAAAACTAGGATGTGGGAGGTGATTCGTACCAGCAATTCAGTACACAATTGTGAGTTCGTCAATGAAAAGAAAAACATATTTTATCATATGTTATTTAGAAGACGCCATCAACAACATAAAAAAAGAAACAAATCTATCTCGTTAAGTGAAAATTCTAAGCGAGTGATACCTTCGTCTTAATTGAACAAGGTAACAATCCTCCTTGATGAGGCCAGCAATAATACTAAACCAAAACAAAATAAGAGCTTGAATACCTATTGGGTAATGACCACATAATATGGTAAGTGTAAGTAAATTGAGGGTTAAGAAAAATTAACATACAAGTAAAAGGAAACTATGTCCATCTACATATAGACAAAATCATAACAAAGGAAAGACACATTTTATGTTTTAAGCAAGATAGTTACTCCTTCGTTTCTTTTGTTGAGTCCAAATGTCTACACCCCATACTTAATTTTTCTAGTTTTATACTCTTTGCATTTAGTAAATTAAGCAAGATGGCAACCTTGTTACTCATTTGTAATTGGACTAATGCTTTTGTTTGGATTTTGAGCCATATAGATTCTAGCTACTAATCTATTTTATTATAGAATAAATTGCAACTACTAATCATGGAATTTGCTCTAAATAATATTCCAAATTACATCATTAACCATAAGATGATATTTAATCATTGCTTACCTACTTCTTTTTCTCTTCCAAAAAACTAACCTACTACTACTTTCCCTCTCAAGTGAACCATATTGGAAAGGAGTTGGATTTTCGTTTTTGTGCTCGGAACAAAGTAACTATCAAAGCCTCGTCCCTCTCCACCTACTAAATTGTGTTTTTTATTTTATATATTTTATGATATCTCTTTGGTTAATTACTTCTATCGTTCACCATATATTGTATAGTCCAAAATTAAATATTTTTACATTTATTCTTCACTTTAGTTTTCTCCTTCATTGTTGTCGTCAAAAGCTATGAAAGCAACATCATCTTAAAGTAATCGAAATTATCCCCACAATTAAAGGAGTATATTATCACTAATAAAAGAAATTTTAAAAGAAGTTCATTGTGTATTTCAATAAGGGATCTAATGACAGAAAAGAGGTGACAATGGTGAATATTCGGTGAATCTATATTAGGGGATGACAATGTTAATTAGTTGGCTCACCTGTCTTTAATGTAATGTACATAAGTGTGCATTCACTCACTTGGCAGAAACACTTGGGTTAGCAAGTGAAACTTGTATGGAATACAGCGAGGACAATGTGGAAAAAAATTGTGGATCCAATATGATGATGTACCAATAATTTATGATCGGGGCATTCAATCCACGAGTCGATTGTGAAAATTAGGAACAAAGAAATTCATTTTTTCCCGTCACACACTTGTCTAGATGAGTTTGTAAATCCATAAACAATCCGTTGTGATGTAATGTAGTGAGTAGCACGTCTCTAAGAGAATAATAAGTTCAAAATCAATAGGTGGTTATCTCGATGGTGATCTTGTCCCTAAATGGTGGTTCTATGTGTAGTACATCATTAGTTGGATCTAAGTTGGAGTGTTATTGAAAATGACATTGTTGCAGGCTTTTCATATGGGTCACTGATAAGTTCTGCTATAAAGGATAATTGAGTTTGTTGTAATATTTAAAGTTGAAGAAATCGATGAGAGAAGTCTCACGGATGACTAAGTGAGCACGAGTGACGAGTTCACTTTGTCAGTGAATTTCAGTGACGTAGGAAAAGAGGAAATTTGAGATATTTTACATCTTGACATTTCCAAGAGATAGAGGTTGATTGGCGACAACTGAACAATAGTTTTCCAAGTGTATTATCTATGTTAGACCGATCGGAATTGATAACAACCCATCATATGAGAGTCTAGTGGGGGGTGATCATAGTGTCATGGATCAAACTAAATGGCAAACCCATCCACATTCTTCTAAGCAGTCCACATCATGAGGGTTAGGAGGCGTTGGTTAGGTTACCAAAGACATAGAAATGTGTATAGTACTATAGTTGCGTACATACATATATACTAAATGATTAAGCAAACAATAATAGTGATTAGGAAAGGGGCACTCATGCAATAAACAAAGAGGAAAGGGGAAATGTAGTTTTCTTTATGTGCTGCCCATGTGGTTGAGTGGACCCAACGAAAAGAAAAATGGAAAGCAAACTACAAGAAAGAAACCCTTATATGAAACGGATTCCACAAAAGAAGATGACTTTTAGATTTTCTTAGCGCCAATATACAACCTTGCATTGCAAACATCAATCACTATATAACAATTAACAAGTGTATACACAAGCATTAAATAATTTTGGGGTTGCATTATTGCTACTCAATTCACAAGAGAGAAAAAAAAAAAAGAATTCTTCTTTGTCTTCCCTTTCTTTTCTTTCTCTTGGCTTTGTGTTATGTTGGCCTAATGGGTCCTCCAACCCTAAAGGGGAAACTTACTCACCACCCCTTTTGGTTTTTAAAGAAACTAAAAGCAAAAGAAGGGCATATAAGGCCACTATATGATGTATAGTGTTCTATACGGTCATATATACACCTCCTCTTTCCACCTTACCTTCTTTCTTCCCCTTTCTTTCTTACCCACTAAAGATGGGGTGAATTTTGTGCAAGAAAGGAAGGGTGAAAGAGAGGAAGAGAGTATCTTTTGTGTGTGTAGGATGAATATACCCAAAAGGAATAATGATAATGACAATAGTCACAATAAGATTTAGGAAGGATTAGGAAGCAAAGAAAGGTGCACGATGAGGTATGCCTTTTCTTCGTCTTGAGTTGGAAGGAGGTGGAGGAGGTGTGGTCGGGTAGATGTCATGTTGTGTGCCTTCGCGCAATTCTTGATCATCCTCCCTTGACGATGATGTGCTTGTTAATCTTGAAGATATTTGAGCTTCCCTTCTCCTCATCATTATTCTTTCTTGCATCCCTAACAATGTAGAGCCGTCTTCTTCTATTGCTTCTCCTTGCACATCTCCTCCTCCTACATTCTTGCCTTCCATGCTAAAGCTAGCATCTCCATTCCTCTTTATCCCTACAAGCTACATAATGGATAGCCAACAAAAACAACAAGAAGTTCTCTTTGTAAATAGTTTGCTATCGGCCTATTTCAGTACGATGGACGACCAAACAAACAATCAGACAAAAGAAGAGACATATTGTTGATATAGTTACGTAAATAGCCTACTACAAAAATAACATGAATCCAACACAACTAGTCAACACTTACAAGTGTGTCGTATCTCATTTTTCTCCAAAAGCTCAAAGTTTATGTCGTTTTTATACAAATACTCAAAACTTTCGACATAACGGGCTATTAATCGAAACCTCTAGAATTTTACACCAGAATCGAATCCAACACAATTAGTTAACTACCCAAAATTTATATCCTACAACCTAACATTGTCTACCTAGAGTAAATTCCCATGCTAACACAAAACGAACTTTGAAATGCCAACTTGATCATGAATGGTGATGATGATGATGATGATGATGATGATGATGATGATGATGCAATGCGATATAATTTCTATGAATAAAACCCCTCCCCCTCTCTTTATCTTTTTTATAAAAACATATATATGTTATCTCATCATGTCCATGTCTATGAATGGTAGAGTAGTGGTGGTGGTGGTGGGTGGTTACGATGCTGATGGTATGTTTGCCAAAAAACATGCCCCCATTCCTAGCCGTCCGATGAACACACCAACAACAGAGAAAAGATGGCGATGATGATGCTTAAAAGATCAAATGCCAGCATTCATCAATCAATACTACCCTGTTGTTAGCACTATCGCCCCCACTGATCGAATTGCCTAATTTTAGGCAATGCCGGGCCTAACAAAAACACAGCAATGGCGGATTCCTTACCTTGCAACCCAACGAGCAGAAGCGGAATGTGTCGAGCAAGCTCCGCCCACAAATCTCGCAAATGTGGGCGACGCCTTTCCCGGACTTGGGCTGCGGCCGCTCGTTCAAGAACAGAACTCTGGCGCTGTTTATGACGTACGTCTGTACCCCGCTGATGTCCAGCACCTTCTGTATCTCCCCGACCCTCACCACATCGTGATACGAAGACCTCCGAATCTGGCATCAAAATCCCTAATTAGCAATTACCCTTTTCCCCAATCGGAAGGAATCGAATTGGGTATCAATCGAAAAAGAGAAAAACTCTGTGAATCGAAAACCTGGATGACTTGATGATCCTTGTGGCGGGAAGAGCGGCAGTAGAAGCAGAACGACTCGCCTTTGCAATCGAGACAGTACATGTTGCATTCGCTCCTCGCGGCGTCCCTGTGGACCCGGCAGACGGAGAAGAAGGCAGTGCTCAGCAGCGACTCCAGCCACGCCGGCACCGACATTGTTGATTTATTGCCTCTTTCTTACTCTCCTTTCCTCCCTTCCTCCGCCGCCGGCGGAGGTAGAAAAGCGGTTGACTGAGAGGTGGACGGCGCTAGAAGGAATCGAAGTCGCCGCCGCGCATTGCGTGTCTTTTGTCTTTGCGGGAAACGATCCGCATTACCGTTTTGATACTAATGGCTTTTCTTCTTCTGACGGAGGGAGAGGAGAATCGGGCGGTGGAGAAATTCGATCGGCGGGGAATGCGCCGATTTCGCTTCCCCCTGGAGAAACTGAAGCGGCGGCGGCGGGACGGCGGGTGGAGGAGTGGCGAAACGGCCAGGGGGAAGAGAAACAGAGGGAGGGAGGGAGAGGAGAGAGAAATGGGGGAAATGGAATGGAGGGAGAGAGAGAAAGAAAGAGACCTGAAACGACCAGAAATGAAGAAAACTTGGAAATAAACGACGAGAGGATTCTTGGCGACAAAGCTGATAAAAATTGGGAGAAAACTAAATAAATGCGGTAATAACTTTGCATAGGGACGGTCGAGATGGACCGGGCCGTCGGATTGAGTTTCGGGTGAACCAAAGTCAGGGCCTCAGGGCTCCCTATTTTTATAATAAAATCATGGGTTCGACCGTAGTAGTTCATTCACTTTTTTTTCCAGTTAATTTGTTATTATCACAATCAATCTGAAATGCGTTATTAATCCATTAACGAAGAATTACAATCCCATGTGCACTCTGCATACAAGAAAATAGGAGAGGATGGACCAACCACAATTTCTGTTCATCGCAAGATAGGCCGTATTGGCAAATAATGATGCGAGCAGTTGGCCTGACGATCCGTTTTACAATAAAAAAAGAATAAGTGTGAAGTCGAATTCGTGCTATTTCGCCTCTAATCTCTTAAAACAATTAAGCAATCTCCAGCACAGGGAAGAATTTGATTTGGTATTTTACCGCATCAAAAACTTGTTTTATAAGTTGTCTAGGGTGATCAATGAGCGTATATTTTTTTATCTCGTTCAAATTTGAGCAGAATCGAAGTTGCATCGGATAACAAACTAATATTCAGAATTTGCTACTAGTACATATCAATGTTTTTTCCCTCTTTACCAATGATCATGAATCGTACATATCATAATTCACGATCGACGGTGAAACCACAACCAAATTCGGCATGAACGGGAGGAACCGAGTCGGTTCATTTGGCTACCCAAGGGAATTTTGATTAGCTGTTTACAGTGAGGATCATGATATGCAATCCCGCCACGTGGCAGGAAGTGTACTAATTTTAGGCTGGTGCTGAGGTTGGCCAGGGAATGACCAAACCGAATCGAACCATGTGTTGGGAAAGAAAATGGGAAGTAGTAATTATTGCTCTTTTTCTTTCTTCTTAAAGGAAGTATTTAATTTTTGGAAAATGGAAGATAGGGTTACGTAGATTTTCATGTAGGCTCTTCTTGAATATAACAATAATAAATAGATACACATACATGGTCATACCAAAGAATCAATTAAAAAAATATAAGGACACCCTTATTTCACATGTATTTACATGGATAAACTAGATCGGAAGAAAGTCTTCCTAGATGTGGGTTATTGAGAATGATTTTTACCAATATAGGTCATTGAAAAGATCGTTCGAAGAATAGGTCATATGATGGTCTCTCTATATAACCGAGGAGAGAAGTATTAAGAGTGTAAAAATGACTAATCGATACAAAAATCGAAGGAAATATTGTGATTTCAAAAATAAAAGGAAATACTAGGAAGTATTATGGAAAATTTGTTTTGGACTGTGATACTATACTTACTAGGGGTGGAGAACAATTTTGAGTAATATATGTCATGTTCCAAGTTTTGCAGGTTAGGGGCAGCATCTCGAATGGGTTATTCTCATATGGCAGGAGAAGGCCTGATAGGGTTGTGGCTAATCGATTGTCGTGGACAATAGTATTAAGTCACTTATGACGAGTGAGATGTCAGAGACTATATGATACTAGTCTTGGCGTTTCTTCTTCACAAGAATCACAACTAACTACTCGAGTCAAGTTTGAAATTCACCTGTTTGTTGTAGGTAGCCACACTCAGCAGGAGAGTAGTTGGTAATGTTTATTTAATAGAAGAGGATCATAATGGTTTGGCAAGTTTATTATTTTTATCGAAACTCAATAAAGAATGAGCCTAAATTAGCTTTCTTCACCAAATGGCCTTCTAACCCAACCAAATCATCAAGATACAAGCTTTCGCCTATCAATTTCCAAAGAAGAAAGACAATTGTTTAATATTCAATTTGGATAACTATTTGCTTCACAAAACAACTGGTTTTAGCTGGCAATTATGAGTCTGTGACATTAAACTTGTGTCCAAAAAAGGGTGAGGCAGAAGGAGCGTTTGTGACTTGTGAGTCCATCTTTTAGGAGCGTTAAACTTTTAGAAAACTTATTAAATTAATTATTTTTCAAAATACCAAGTCCAACAAATCGGTATTAAAAATAGTATAAATCGTAATTTTTGCCCTTTTAACTTGTGTAGACAGGCAAAAAAATCATATAACCGTAAATTTTAAATTCATCACATTAAGCATCAAAGAGACTGGAGTAATAAAACACGACTGTTGACCATCATACCCTTACACGAATTAAATTATCTTATAGTTTTTTAATTATTTCCAAAAATCCCTTTAGTGTATTTATCGAATATTAATGTGCTGCGATAACATTAGCTTGTATATCAAGGCAATGTACTATAAAAATAGCACTTTTATAATGACAATGGGTCCCTTTTGGAAGGAATTCTCTGACTAGTACAAAATGAAAATCGAGTATTTAATCCAAAGTGTGTCAGGAATTAAGTACATATATTGGAATCATGTCAGAAGCTTCATAATAATTGCAGAATATACCATTCCCGACACTTTTACAGAAAGCAAGGCATCATATGACACTTTTCCAAGTTGTACGTTTGATAAAAAAAATTATAAAGCTAATCGTGATAATTAACAAGAAATAGGTCTTTTTTCTTTTACACCATTTGGAGGATACTTTGGGCTTTCTCTTTCGTTTTGTTCTTGTTTTGTTGCGGTGAGCAGATTTCCACAGTACAAATGTTAGGTGAATCAAATAAGATGAATTATGATTGTGATCACTCTAATTGAAAATCAATTGAGCGATGATGAAACGAATGCTTTAACGATCAAGTAGAATATTACAACTTTCAAGAGGAAAGTTTGGAGTGTGGCGGAAAATCAATTATTCACGGTGAAACAAACGGATACTTATAAAAAGAATGTGATGATCAGGATATTGTTAGATGATTTGTCCACATTTATAACCTACCTAAAACTTTCATATAATCCCAACTCAATTGTTATCATCATTCGTCGAAACCATTTGTTATCTCATGTTTGATTCTTTGTGCACAACCACACATATGCCAACATCATATAAGGTCACCTAACTAGCTTCTTATTCTATATTAGATTATGTGTTGGACGTGGAATTCTCGACACGGTTCAGCTTACCATCCAAAAATTACATTTGCTATTTAAGGTAATGATCGGTCCGAAAATATAAACGTTAGAAGTATGGTATATGTTATCATTTCTGCATTATCCTAGTCCAACCCGAACTCTGGGTTTAACAATGAGACTTGCTAGCACAAATGTTATAGTTTTGGTTGGCCCTAGTGAATTGATCACTTTCAAAATCCTCGAATTATCAAGGATGAAGAATCCTTTAATCATTCAATTCCGCGACTAATCATATCACCCAAAGCACATGATTAGTGTAATCTCATGAAAGCCTGTAGGGTTAAGTAAGGATATAAACTACAAGGTTTTGACAGGAAAGTGCCAAATGAAGTTGATTAAGGGGAATCAAATTCTGGTAGCTTATATCTTTCAGTCAATAGGCTGTCGCTTGTTACTACAACAGAAACCCCTCCATGATTCCAAATTATGTAATGCCCGTGAGACACATCACCGCCACATGGACATGGTAGCATTACCTACCGGAATCATTCAATACCATTAGGGTGCGTTTGGATACAAAGATTTGGATTTGGTATTTGTGATTTGGATTTTCAAATACCAAATCATGTGTTTGGATATTAATTACATTTGGTATTTGGATTTGTCTCAAATTCATGGGGTGATTTCCAAATACATGTCTAGTGTATTTTTTGTCAACTTCAAATACATTTCAACAACTAGTGATTTGAAATACCTCCTAACAAAAGAATGGACCTATTTGTAAAATATGAAAAGTTTAGGTACTATAGTGTGAGGCAAAACATATAAAGGTACCAAAATGTAATTTTACCATCAAAATTTCAGGACCTTTTTGTAAAATTTTAAAAGTTTAGGTACTAAATTGTAAGAAAAAATAATTTTGGGTACCAAACTGTAATTTACCAAAATTTGTAGTAAGTGACCAGAAAATTAAAATTTGAAATTGAAAATCATAAATACAAAAATACAAACAAATTACAAATGAGTATCCAAACAATGAATTTGAATTACATGTATTTCAAATGCTAATACTTCAAATACATCCATTTCAAATGCTAGTATTTCAAATACCTTATATTTAAAATACACTTATCCAAACGCACCCTTATATTATTGGACTTTCAATAAGAAACCGAGTTATCGAGTCAGATAAGTTTTTCATATAGTTTTGGGGTTTACGATCGAGAAGTTTCATGTTTGAATCTTGACGAGACCATATATTAACAAACGGATTCTGACATATGACATGAGTGTCCAAGCTCATGGTTGTAATTAAGGAAGTGGTTAAAATTTATAAAGCAGGGGCGGAGCCAGGATTGGGCGATCGGGGGGGCCGGAGTTAGCTAGTACACTATCGTCGAAAGTAAACAAATGATGAGAAAATTATTAAGAAAATAATAATATTATTATTAATTAATAGTATAATAACAATATAAGACTTTATTTGATATTAAAAAGTCACTCAAATTATAATCTAAAACAAATTTTCTAAATGCTATGTTTAACAAATTATTAAAAGTAAAATACTTATAAAACATACTATAAAAATTATAAGATTGCTCTTTGTCAAATAAAAAGTTACATAATTAATCATCTAACCAAGAGAATCATTAAGAATATAAATTTAAAAGTTGAAGAAATTAATTAAACTATATTTTAATTTTAAAGAAATTAAAATTGACCTATATATGATAATTATTAACTTATTAAATTGGTCTTTGGTCAAATTAAACTACTGTACATTAAACTTCCATGTTCTAAAATGTTAAAAAGGGAGGTGCACTGAGTTCGAACCCGGCCACTCAATTTAACAGGCATGAATCCTTCCGCTGAGCCACCCAAACATTGATGTCACAATTTTGCACACAAATTTACTTATATTATTAGGTGTATACGTAAATTTTCAAATTCCTATCGACCTTAACACGTGATTTCATAATTCTCGGGGGGGCCGGGGCCACCCCGAAGAACAACATAGCTCCGCCCCTGTTATAAAGAGACTTTCTCCCAACAAGTCGAGATATTGGGATTAGTTGGTTTATGACGTGGTATAAAGTTAGTTTGATTGTGAAGCCTCGTGTTCAAGTACTCATCACGACTCAAAATATTAACAATTGTGTCAAAGGACATGGTGTGGTGGACATGTGCAGATTTTAAACTCATGAGTTGGCTTTCATTTGGGTTAGGAGCGTAAGGAAGTGGTTAAGATCCATAAACAGACTCCCCCCATACAAGTCTAGTTGTTGGGACCGGTTGGTTTGTGACATGGTATCAGAGCCGTTTTAATCGTAAGGTCTCGTGCTCAAGTCCTTACAACCCCAATATTAACATTTAACAGTAGTGTTAAAGCATATGGTATGACGGGCCTGTACAAATTTCCAACCCTTGATTTGACTTTCGTTTGAGGTGACATGCAAGGAAATGGTTAAAATCCATACATAGACTTCTCCCAACAATTCGAATTATTGAGACTAGTCGATCGGTTTATAATAATGATAGGACTTTTGTTGAAGGGAAGATGTAAAGAGATGGAATAAGATACATTTTTTAACCCTAGCTCATTGTGTGATTGGAAACATTTCCCTCATGAGATAAGACTTCCTTCCAAGGCGCTAACCGCCATTCCATTGGAATAATGTGTCACCCTGGAAAAAGGACCGTCGGTGCCCAACTACGGCCAAATTTCTGCTTGGACCACCCCCCTTATATTTGCCTTCACTTTCAAGCAATATTGCCCTAAATTAATTAGTTAAATTATTGCTGAATCTAATGGCACAGTTTGAACAACATCGAGATCAAGAGCAAAGCACATCCCAAACTAAATTAAATTAGATAAGCGCATACATAATAATATATAGCTCTCGGATGATACACAATTTTTGACAATACCGATAATGTAATTAATTTCATCGTTAATTATACGAGAAACATGATTAATCATGTCGTGTTTTCATGAGTAAGGCAAACATTTTTTTTGTTTCATATTTGTACTCGTTTTGGAACTGGATGTCGGTTGTACTGGTCTAAAATAGTCAATTTAGACCTTAAAAGAAATTGGACATGACTTTTAAAGGAGAAGTTTTGAAGAAAAATATAGAAGAAACAGAACAAGTACTATTTTGAGTGAGGGATGGAGAAGTGCCAACTTCCCACTTCCCCTCGGCGCAGCATATGAAAGAAAATATATAGGACACTATACCTACCAAAATGGACCAATGATTGGAATATTGATGGAATAGTTCTAAAACGCAAGCCAAAAAAATAATAATATTGCTTGCAGCCCATCTATGAAAATTCATGAATCGTGCTTAGTTAACCCCAGATGAAAATATATGATCAAGAGTAGACTATGGAAAGGGCTAAATTGCAAGTTTGGTCACTCGAATTGCTACAAAATTTCATATTTGGTCACTCGAATTCGTTTATTCCATTCGTAGTCACTTAAATTAGTTGAACAGTCCAAGTTCGGTCACTCTCCGTTAAGCTCCGTCAGACTCCGTTAGTGCCGTCAGTTAACTGCTGACGTGGCTAACAGAGATGTCTAGTCACCCAATTTTAACACAAGAAAAAACAGAAATTGATCTGCCACGTCAGAAAAATATGACACCTCATATAAACACAACCCAACCCACCCAACCTAAAAAAACCATTAGCCCACCCAGAAATCAAACCCGTGACCCATCCACCCTTCTTCTTCTTCCTCTATACCCTACATCTGCCGCCGATGGGGGATTTCCCCTTTATCGATTCTGCTTCGGCCGACAGTCGTCGCTGGATCCCATATGACGGAGGCCGATCAAGGAGGAGCTGCTGGCGGTCCCGGAGAACTTGGACTGCACGATGCAGCTGCTGTTCATGGCGTCCCGCGGCGACGCGCGAGGGGTCGAGGATTTGTTGAACGAAGGGATTGATGTCAACAGCATTGACCTCGACGGGAGGACCGCGCTCCACATTGCCGCCTGCGAGGGACACGCAGAGGTCGTCAAGCTTTTGCTCAACCGGAGGGCCAGTATAGACGCTCGCGATCGTTGGGGGAGCACTGTGAGTCCCTTATTGCTTCCCTTCTTTGTTCCCCTCTTCAATTTGGGTAATGGATGCTGTTTTGGGTAATTGGAATTCGGATTGTGTGTTCCTTGGTTGCCTTGTTTGATCCAATTTGGGTAATTGTTTATGGCTAAGTTAGAAATGACGGTTTTGTAGCAGGGAGATGGAGGGGAAATCCGCCGGCGGCGGCAGATGTAGGGTATAGAGGAAGAAGAAGAAGGGTGGATGGGTCACGGGTTCGATTTCTGGGTGGGTTAATGGTTTTTTTATAGATTGGGTGGGTTGGGTTGTGTTTATATGAGGTGGCATGTTTTTCTGACGTGGCGGATCAATTTCTGTTTTTTCTTGAGTTAAAATTAGGTGACTAGACATCTCTGTTAGCCACGTCAGCAGTTAACTGACGGCACTAACGGAGTCTAACGGAGCTTAACGGAGAGTGACCGAACTTGGACTGTTCAACTAATTTAAGTGACTACAAATGGAATAAACGAATTCGAGTGACCAAACATGAAATTTTGTAGCAATTCGAATGACCAAACTTGCAATTTAGCCCTATGGAAAGAGTTGAAAATTCCCATGAAGAAACGTAGGAAAGATAGAGAAAGGAGAGGTGTGTTATCACGAGGGTCTTTGTAACATGTTTTAACTGAAAATCAAGTTCGAGAAAAAGCTATAGTTTTCGACAAAAAGAAGCAGATCGATCTTTTATTCATTAATCGATAGAAGTATAGATAAATACATTGAAAGATATGCAATGGTAAAATCGAGAATACATATATAAACCCAATTCGCGTGAAGGAGGAGCGAGGAGGTAGGTAGAGAACATGTTATTCAATCCATCATATTAGTAAGAGAATGTCACAACAGAGTTATATCTAGGATGCATCATGAAAGAGTCCGATTATAGTGAAAAATAAATCACACTGAATAACGTCAGTGATTTCCACATCCATCAAAATTAAGCTCTACAATGGACTTAGTAACTACATATTCCCATTGAACACTCTATCAATTTGCAATGTCTGTTTCCTCTTTTGTGGGATTGTGTTGTGGGGAAAGTATGTGTTCAATGAGTAATATATCCACATGGAGCTGCAATGCCTTTTGAGCTCACCCCAAATCCCAAAAACATGCTTCACTGTCCACATTTATAATCCAATTGGCATAACATGTGTATATGGGGAAAAGCTATGCAGGAATTTCCAATCAATAAATTAAGCAAATAAATGATGATAATAATAATAATATTTGTTTAGGAATTGCCAGAATGGAAGTGTTGGTTTTTGCCCAAGATCTTGGGGCTGTCTGGCTTTAGTGATTGACATGATGCCATTGTCTTGAAGTACATACATCCTAATATTTGATGAGCTGAGCTGGTTATAGAAGGAGTGAATAGACATGTCATGATTTAATCTAAATTCTTTAAGAAAAAGCGTTGAACAAATAAAAGATAAATTTAAGAGTGTGAGAGACTGATTCAAAGAAATAACTCAAGAATAGTTGTTAAAGATATACATTTGGAAAGGTATTTTGGTCGATAAATTCATATGTGAAAATTAGTTAAGTGATAAGAACGAAAATGCTGAAAATTAATTATTAGTTTTTAAAGAACGAGTTAAGATATTATTTATGAATTTGGATAATCGATGATCCTTTTCATAAATCAGTTGGTCTCGATAACTCGAATTATTGGGAGAAGGATTATTATAAATTTTATACCACTCTTTTACAATCCTCATCGTTTAGATGACGGTCTATAAATTTCTAACCGTTTCATTAGCATATACACATCTTAGATTTTCTCGATACCCCACTTATTTTCTGTTGCATATGCTCTTCGTTTTCAATGAGCAGTTGCATGATGTAACATCTTAAACCTTTTCCAACAATATATAGTTTGCTATGGACCTAGACCTTCACGATTTTTGTCTTAAGTTGCCTGTCAAGTTGACTTCCCATAAGATCACCAATCATTGTTGTGCTCCATAACGAGCTCGTCTTCCATTTCACCACAAAATATATCTTGTCATTTAAAGTCGGTTTCTTATTTTTAATATTGGAGCTCTCCCGTACTTTGTTGATTTCGGATTCTTCTAAAGTGTTACACGTACTACTCTCATTGCTTGATATAAAATAGGAAACCCCTCGGTTTGAAACATCATGGATCGACATGGTGCTAAGTCCAGAGCGGATCGGGTAGGCTTGGTTCTATCCGGTGTTGAAAGGTCCGGCCCATCAACAACAGTTCATTATGGCCCTAGCGAAAATGCGGAGGACACATCTTCGCCTGGGTTTTCTTTGTAGAAACAGAGAGGGCCTCTCCGTTTAATTTCCCTTCTGTTCTCTGATTAGGGTGGAGTAGGATGGGAATTTGAACACGTCTTGTCGGATATTAGCTGATATGATTTTTGTTGGGTAGGGTATTACTCGATCGCAGTAGCATTGGACTAGCAAAGTGTTACTACTTTCTACGCAGCCTGTTCCATTTTTACCTGTTTTATCTCAATTTGTCTATTATTTATTTCGTCAATCATACTTTCACTTGATGAAATTTTCAATAGGCAGAAACTTTGATCTTTCAATTAATTAGAATCATTCACTCATTGTATTATACTATTTTTCATTTATTAAGTGTTTTCCCTTTGTTTAATCAATTTTTTTTATTTTTTGCATTTTATTTCTTCAAATAATATATGATAATGAGTCATCCTGCCTCGATCAATACACGGGCGAGTATAATTTGATCTGATCCACGCTTGGCACCGTAAAAAAAATAGGCGATTCTTACAAAAAAAAAAACAGGTGGTCACAATAACCCGAATTGTTGGGGGTGTTCAATTATGGATCATATACCATTTACTAACAGACCCTCTGAAATGAAACCACCTTATATATGTTAGTGTTGTGGTATATGATTCACGAGTGAACCTCTCCCAACAACTCGAGTTATTGGGACCAACTGGTTCTTAACATGGTATCAGAGCCTAGAACCGAAAGGTCATGTGTTCGAATCTCCACGACCCCCAATATTAACCATTGTCTTTCAAGCACATGGTATGGTGGGCCGTTGACATGGTATCAGAGCCCCTTCTGTGACCGAGAGGTCTTGTGTTCGATTCCCGGTGACCCCCATTTGTTAAGCACATGGTATTCTTGTCTTCAGACCAGTGCAAACTTCAAGCCCTTGTGAGTGGCTTTCGTTTGAGGGGGCGTGTTAGTGTTGTGGTATATGATTCACGATTGAACCTCTCCCAACAACTCGAGTTATTGAGATCAACTGGTTCTTGACATGGTATCAGAGCCTTATGTGACCGAAAGGTCTTGTGTTCGAATCCCGGTGACCCACGTTTGTGAAGCACATGGTATCGTGTATTCAGACCTGTGCAAACGAAAGCCCTTATGATGTGACTGGCTTTCGTTTGAGGGGGCGTGATAGTAAATGGTATATGATTCACTATTGAACCTTTCTCAACAACTCGAGTTATTGGGAGCAACTGGTTCTTGACAATATAGACCTTGAAGTTTGCATAAGTCTAGGGACCATGTGCTTAACAGACCATATGAGGTCATCGTAATTCAAAAAGAAGACCTCTCAATCATATAATGTTGTGATACCATGTTAAAACTAGCTTATCTCAATCAATCAATTTGTTATGAAAACTTTGATCATAATCATATATCACTTACTAAGAGATACGAGATGGGTATGAGTACCGACTACCGAGATACCCGCCCCTCCACATCCTACCCGTTTGCCATCACTAGTGTGGAGTATGTTTTTTCATTCGATCCTACAAAACCCAGCAAGTAAACATCGAAGAAAATTTAGATACAGATTTAACCATGTATTGTGGATAAATTCCACTAAAAGGTGGACTTGGATGAAATCTACTGCCGTTTTGGTTTAATTTAATTCAATGAATTTGAAATCCCACTTGGGATGCTACTTGTTAATTTACGATTTCAATAATTTCTTACTATCGTTCTTGTCACTATTCGACGATCCCAATAATGTCATTATTTCTCATTTCACTTATTCTCTCTCTTACTTCGAACGGACTCTAAAGATTATTTTATTTCAATGCATTACATCACCTACTATGCACTTCAAATTGATACAATTCCTGTACCTATATTTCAAGCTCTTTTTCATTACAAGCAATCCATTCATTGTAACAATTTACCGTTGAAATGGTCTTTGAATTTGACTTATTTTGTTGATTGTTTACTCCAAAGTTCGAACTCAATATATAATGAATTTTCTAATCCTCACATTACCACTAGACCAACTTCTTGAAATTCTTATTTGATTTTGTGCGTTGGAAAGTCAAATTAGAGTAGGAAATATGATATCTAAGCAAGCCTCTACATTTTATCCGGCCCCTAGCCCTTGAACGATAGAAGGACTACTTATCTTCTCTTAGATAGAAGCAGATGTGATATGTCCTCAAAAGTGTTACAAATTCAACAAGGGGTGGTGGCGCAGTTGGTTAGCGCGTAGGTCTCATAGCCAAAGAGTAATCCTGAGGTCGAGAGTTCGAGCCTCTCTCACCCCATAAACCGATTTTGCCAATCCTTTTTTTCTTCTTCTGAACTTCTATTTGCTGCTGCACGCCTGCATCTTCTCTCTCTAGCTCAATGAATAACACGCGTGAAAAAAATGCTCTCTTCCTCGAAGAATTTGAGTATTTGACTGCACTTCTGAAATCATAAGATGTCCCTACATATGCTGCTGGACAAGAAGATGCTCCCTTGTGTACAGGTTCGGTCACGACAGCAATGCATTCGATACTGCTTATTTGCCTTTGAGTTGTCCGCTGGGCAAACGAGCAAAACAAGGGATTTGGCTCTGCCTTTGCTTGGCTGGAGTTGTGCTAGCTAGGGTTACCGAGATGATGGCCTACAGCATTCGTCAACAACCCCTCGAGTACACAAGGATCACAGTTTTTGTCTTGCTCGTCCCGATATGTGTTATAACTCGTTACTCGAGACAATCCGAGTGCGATTGTCGAGTTGATCATGGCTTGTAGTGTACGTAGTTGCAACCAAGTACGTCTCTCGGGTTGTAGAATAATTTGATTTTAATCAGTTAGTCATTGATGTGTATATTTTCTTCGAATCACATGTCGAAATGAGGTGGACGATAATTTACCTGATCTGACTAGGGCGCATTTACTGCTAGATTGGTTCGTATGATGATCGAGGCACCAACTCCATCCCATTATCATTACTAACCACATAGCATTCGGAAGGTTGAAACAAAGATCTTTTTATAAATTGTGTATTGTATCAATACTATGAACATTTTGCAACAACATTCATCTTAGTCGCTAAATATTTTGATGATTAGTTACTCGCATCGTCATATGAATTTGTTGAATACTCATAAACAGAGCGCTCTCTCGTTTTCGACATGAAATAGTAGTAAGAAACCCGATTGGTGACATTTGGACGTTGTATTCTCCGACGAAGTTTACTGAACAGAATAAGTGGCAATATGCTAATTGAATTGCGTTTACGAAACATGATAGAGAGTTTTATGAACCGCAAATATGCCGGCCCATATATACTCTGCCTTTAAGCAACTGTCTTCTAACGTTTTCATTTTCTGTGTTATATATAAACTCTTTGCCCGACCAAATAACGGAAACATCTTAACAACCATAAACATAGAACTATGGCAGACCGCTCTGTTCATTCCCAGTCTCGTATTTTTCTACTCTCTACTTTTCTGGTTTCTCTTCTCCTCGTGCAACTTCCATGGAGGCCGTCTCTTGCGTCGGCGGCGGATGCAGCCGGTGGAACCGACGACGGGTCCGAACAATGGGGCTACGTCGAAGTCAGGCCAAGTAAGCAACTTTTCGTCATCTTCAGTAATTTTTAATGAATGTTACTCTTTGGTCCCTGAAATTTGGTACTTCTATAAATTATGCATAAAAAAACTTTTGTAACTATCTCAAACAAGTTGTTGAATTTTTCACAATGGTTCGCAATTCGATCATTCCGGTCGAAGTTCTTTTTTTTTTTCAATGTGGCAATATAAATCAGGCATTTTCCATAATTGAGGTAATGGACTGATTTGATTGAGAGTACGACGTAACTGAAAAATCTGTTGAATTCGATTAAAAGAAATAGCCCAGTTTTTAAAACGTAAGCGATTTTACAATAATGCGATGATTCAACCTGAAAAATTCCTTCCACTAGACCTAGCTGCCATGTTTACTTGGAAAAGTTTTGATCAAATTGATTAATTAGCAAATGTGATTAATTATTACTTTGTTGTATGCACAGAGGCTCACTTGTTTTGGTGGCTTTACAAGAGCCCAAACAGGGTTGACGATCCGTCAAAGCCCTGGCCCACGATTTTATGGCTCCAAGGCGGCCCGGTTAGTATTCTGACAAGAACCTGTTCTTAATATCACAATTAGTCATATATCTTCATTAACGCTAAATCTTTGATCAAAGTTAATTAATGAAATCCATTGTTGACTCAGGGTGGCTCCGGCGTTGGATTCGGGAATTTCGGAGAGTTGGGACCGTTAGATTACAACCTGGAGCCGCGTAATTTTACATGGCTCAAGAAAGCAGACCTATTATTCGTAGTAAGCACAATTGATCCTAATAATACGAGTTATGTGCCTTTGACAAGCATAACAAAGTGGTTTTCTAAGCTCTGTCCGTCCTTTTCTTTTTGGGTTAACTAATTCAGGACAGTCCAGTGGCGACCGGGTTTAGCTACGTGGAAGACAATTCGTTGGTGGTTAGAACCGATGTGGAAGCTGCAACTGATTTGACTACCTTGTTGAAGGCACTCTACAATGGAAACCAAGCCCTTCAGAAGAGCCCTCTCTACATTTTTGCAGAGTCCTATGGAGGGAAGTTTGCGGTCACTCTAGGTATTTCGGCGGTTCGAGCGATCGAAGCAGGAGAACTGAAACTCCGGCTTGGAGGTAAGCCAGTCGCGTCGATCATCCAAACAATTCGAGTAAGTTACGTTAGGATATGATTCGCTCACTTGTTGATGATTTTGATTTATTTCTTTGCAGGAGTTGCTCTAGGCGACAGTTGGATTTCCCCCGAAGATTTTACGGTACTATCGTATTGATATAACTATTGGTGAAGCTTGTTAATTCTGGAGTCGATCGATCATAAATAACAATAATCATCTAATTTATGATATCTTGGTTCCAGTCTTCTTGGGCGCCGCTTCTAAAGCAAGTTTCGCGGATTAGCAACATTGGGTTGAACAAATCAAATAGGTGTTTATCTTTCATTGAAGAAAAGAATTACGATACAGATAATGATATGATATACTAATACGGATAAATAATTAATTGGAAAACAAAAAAACAGCATTGCTTTGCAGATCAAACATCAGCTGGCGGAAGGCAAGTACGAAGATGCAACAGACTCGTTTGGTGAACTCGAGAACCTAATTTCAGACTATAGCAATAATGTGGTGAGTTAATGTTTGAGTCTATCGTACCAACCTAAAAATGATCGTTATTTCGAAATATTTCAATAATCTCGCAATGAATGTAATCTTTCACACATTACCACTAGACCAATCGTTAGAAATTCGTCATTGAATATTACCGGTGGTAATTTCCGAATCACGTTTCAGGATTTCTACAACTTCTTGTACGACGACGGAGACTCTCCTGTAGCGGCGAACAAAGCTGCCGGACGTCGAAAAAATGCTGCCGAGAAATACTCGTCGAAGTTTCTGAGGATGGGCCAAAGATCATCTTCGTTAGCTCAAAAGTCCACTTCTGATTTTATGAACGGGCCCATTAGGAAGAAGTTGAAGATAATTCCTGAGAATGTCACGTAATAACTGAGCCCAATTACGTTTAATGCCTTGATTACAATTGAAGGACTTTGTGTTGATTATATTGTGAATTTGTGATTATTACGTACAGATGGGGAGGGCAAGGTGGTTTGGTTTTCCCTGCCATGGCTGGTGATTTCATGAGACCTAGAATCCAAGAGGTATAACTAATCCGAAAAAATTCATCATACTCGATTTCGTACGAAAAATGTACGCGCATAATAGTTGCAATCAACACAAAATTCATTACAAATACTCGACCAAATGATGCGATTTGGAGTACATTGGTTATTTACTTTTCTTGCGCAGGTTGATGATCTCTTAGCAAAGAACGTTAGTGTGACCATATACAACGGCCAGGTAAATTATAGACTTGAACTTGATAGCTACCCAGTTTAGTGTAGTGCATAATGCTCAAGTCTCAACCTAAAAAATTGTGTTGTCTGCTGCCACAGGTTGATCTCATTTGCTCAACAAATGGAGCAGAAGCATGGCTTAACAAACTCAAGTACGTTTGTCTAACTAATCAACTAATAATACTCGTTCATGCATGGATATAGCTTGCTTAATCAATCAACACATATATATGTAAAGTGTGCGAGTTTGTACCCTCGAAATAGTTCATCATAATAAAGGTATGATCAAGCGCATGGAGTAACATAAAAAATTGATTTCGTGCATGCTCGATCACCTTTGTCAATGAACTCTATCGCAACCCAATCAATTCTGATCAGTGGTACCCCAAACACAATTTTTTTTTTTCCACTATTGTTAATGGTCTTTGTTTTACTGGTTCAGGTGGGATGAATTGGAGGAGTTCTTGAGCATGGACCGGACGCCTTTATACTGCAAAGGTGAAAATGTGACCACCAAGGCCTTCACTAGCTCTCACCGGAATTTGGCCTTCTATTGGATTCTTTTGGCCGGACATTTTGTGAGTACTCCATTAAACACTCCATAATCAAGCTTGGCCTAATTGTGATCAAGGATCATGATCAAGTAATTAATTAAATTTTTTGTTTAATTACGAACCTTAAACTTGAATATCATTTTCTTCTGTTAACAGGTTCCAGTGGAGCAACCATGCATTTCTCTACAGATGGTGGGAACTATCACTCAATCTCCAAGCAGAGCCTAACCCTAATCTATCCTACATAAATATATTACCATTACGATTGATATGATTCCCTCTTGATTCAATGTAAAATACGATTATTCTCTTAATAAATGATAATTCACCGTAGATCGATTTGCATTATGTGTTGCTGATGGACTACAAGGATATTTAAAGTAGTTGAAAAACATTGGGTTGCTTGTTATTGTATCAAAATTATCAATTAGAAGCTACTTGATAGATTCAAAGCTGAAACTTCCAAGTTCAAACTCAGTGGTATTACTATTGGACTAGGGGTGGGCAATGGGTTGGTCCAGACTCCAGAACAACCGATATTTGGAACATACCACATTGAATCGAATATAATATGGTTTGGTCCTTGGTCCTATGAATTTTACAAATATTAAAGAAAAATGGATAGAATTGACATTTGGATCGGACCATAGTGGACCAACGCGGATCGAATGCACTATTGGTCTGGTCCTTGGTTCTAAGATATCTTTCACTATTGTACCGCGATTCTCTTGAGTTTGGTCTGATCCGGTTCGGAACAGACCGATGCCCACCCCTAGACCAAACCATGTTTATGTGGTCCGGTTCGATATGATAATGACTAGGGATGTAAAACCGTCTGGTCAGGACCTGATCAAACTCACGAGAATTACGGTCCACTAGCGAAAGATATGTTAGGACCAAAGATCGGACCCATATTGCACTTGGTCGGTTTGGTCTAGTCCAAATGGCAATTCGGTTGTTTGTTTCGTATTTATAAAATTCACGCAATCAAGGATGGAACCGCATTATATTTTGTTCGCTATGGTCTGGTCCAAGCGTCACGTTGGTCCGTTGCGCTCCTGTACGAACCAAACCATTGCATACCCCAAATATTGATCAAGCACATTATATAGAATAAAACATAAATAAATAATTTATTTGGATGGAAATATGACTTAAAAAGAAATGAAATTACTCTTTGTTATATCATGCTGTGCATATAACCTTTTGTTATGTTTTGAGCTTTTGTGACCATTTTCATACCCACCAAAAATTCAGCTAGAATTCAAAATCTGATAAAAAATCCAAAGTGGAAAGAAAGAATATGTCAGACAATGCAAATCATCCATTTAGCAAACACATTCTCACCTCACAACCTAATAATCCCGAATACGAACTTCAGAAGGCACATAATTAATCATGAGTGGGATGTTCCTCGCCTTGATTTCAAGATGGCCGAATTCCCCTTTCTCCGAATGAAAGACCGTAAAAGATACATCGTCGTCACCAAAGCGATAAGTATCGTAGCTTTCTGCCATTGAAGTGCCATCACAAATCACCATGACCAAGCACTTCAAATTGCTCGAAATCCCGATGGAATAAGGGATGGTCGCCGCCAGAGCACCGCTCGCAATGACCTGTACTTTGGTCCATGACTCCGATACCCAGTACTTCAAGAGCACCCACATCTCCCAAGACCTGGGATTTTTTCGCCTCATCTTATCATCATCGTCGTAAAGTGGAAAGAAAGCAACCATAGACTCCTCGTTCAACAAACATGAACATTCCCTTTGAATGTACACATCCTGAGAAGAAGGACGAGGCAAATCCAATGTACGAAACTCGTGGCTGCTCAGGTCAAACGAATCAAATAGTAAACCCTCCCCGTGCGATTCCCCCATCATCCAATACAACTTCCCCTTGTGAAGTTGTGTAATTCGGCGACTGGGGAGGACCGGGTTGTAGCCGTCCTCGCGATCAGCTATCTTTGTCCATGAATCAGTCCTCAAGCTGTAGACCTCCGCGGTATAATGGTATCCCCAAGAACCGTCGCTGTAGTCCAATTGCCTGACGATTTTGTAGTCGTTCGATTTCGAATCGAAACCGAACCCAACGGCGTGAAGTTCAGCGCGATAACGGCGATCGCGAGGGAGAGAGAGAACCTTGGTCTCGGAGGTCGCCGGATTCCAGAGAATCAGATCGTAGTCGCCGTCGGATATGCAGATCAGGCCGTTGCAGTATCCAGCGACTTCTATAACCCGATCGTAATAGTGATAATCGTCTTTAAGGGGATTTTCTGGATTGAAGGGTAGGAGCTGAACAGGGGAAGCCGCCGGAAGCAGAGGTTCGAGTGTGTCGGCAGAGTGAAGACTGTAAACCGATCTGCCGTTTTCGTCGCGGAAGTTGAGCATGATTTGGAGATGACGGGAATCGGCTGATTCTTGCTGTCGCAGGATGAAAGAGGGATCTGAGAGGAGAGCGCGCCATGATTTGCAGACGCATCGGAGTCGGCCAATACAGTCGCCGCCGGTGGGAAGCCTCCACAGGATCTCGATGATCAGCTCTTCTGGGATTCGTCGGTTGATCATATCGCTGCAGATGGTTTAGGCTTTAGGGTTCTTGTTCTAAGAGGTTACGGCGATGGGCGTACCACGGTATCTGTATATGAAGGCCCAGAAAACTAAACCCGGCGCCGTTTCGGGTGAGAGATAGGCACACAGGCCACAGCCGGTGAAAATTAGAAACCCCATCAAAATTGAGAAACGGGCAATAGAAACGGGCGAAACGTAAAATTAACCTGATCTCGCGATATGAAGATATGTACACGATTTATTGACTTTTTTTGCAATCTATTGACCTTTGCTAAATTCGGCCCTCGAATAAGAAGAGAAAAAGAACAGGAAATCCATAGAGACGATCACATAAAAACACGCGGAAACAAAAGAAATCATATTCCGTTCATAAACTGCGCCAAAATTCGAAGAAGCTCTCGTTTGAAGTTTCTTTATTTGCGTTACCGTCGGACGATCTGGGGGGGAGGCTTGTTTCCGGAAGTCATGTTCAAATTCTGGTAATTCATCTCGATTTTTCTCTTCTTCGATCGCGCTTTCGATTAGCTTGCAGCTTGCTCAATTTGGGGAATTCGAAGTCGGTTGGATTGTAAAGCCTTAGTAATTGATTAGGAGATCGATTTTAGCTGTTTGGAGGTAGGAGGCGGGGCGGTAGGGCTACTTTGCTCATTTGGTTCTCGGAAATGTTTACCTGATTGGCTTAGCGAGAATGAGAACTTGTCAAGGATTGAATTAAGCTTCTGGGTTTTGTAGTTGGGAGAGTTTTGCGAAGTTGGCATTCGTAAAGTGCTTCTCTTTCTTTTGGCTATCTTTCGGCTTTGTTGGATTTCTCTATAGGTGAATTGTGTGTGGTGCTTATGTTCTGGACGTTTTTGATGCAGGGGCTCTCAGGAGCAGGATGCTCAGCAGCCACGGCCGCAGGGAGATTCTCAGTCTTGGTACCCTCCATCTGTAGTGGGATCTTCGCTGGGTTCTTCTCGCCCTGGGACACCGAGTGGTAGTAGCTCTTCTAGTGGATTTGGAATGAATAGGCCGTCGGATTCTCCAGCGTTGAATGTGTCGCCAACTGAAGCTGCAGGTGTTATCTCTCTTTTGAAGGATAGAAGGTTAGCTTTTCTTGCATTCTTTGCAACTCTTTTGGAAATTTCATATCACGAGTCTGTGGTGGATCTTCAAGGAAGAGCCAGTAGTTGGTTCCTACTGGTGATCTATCAGGTGTCGTTGTGCACATCCTATGTATTTGCTTTAGCATTCTGCTGACTGTCATGCTCCAGATTTTCATTTGTTTACTCGGAATCATTCGTTGTAAGTGTATGAATTTGATATTGATTGATCCATTTGGGGACTTTTGGTTATGGCGTTATGCTAGTGCTTGTCTACGCTCTCCGTCTGTCTCCAGTTGCTTATTAGCGTCTAAGCATATAAATGTTTTGGTTATGGCGTTCATGCAGTGCTGATGATTTAAGGAAGCTACTCTCCGACAAGGATGCATACAGCCAATTTCTGTTTTCACTTGATCAGGTCAAAATCCAGAACAATGTAAGTCGCTACTGCATGCTCTCCTTCCTGGTTTCTTTAGTGAAATGCTGTTGTGCAATGGATCGTCATCTATGATTCTATATTGAACTTCTGCTCATGCCAAATAAAGCAAAATGGCCTATTTCCTAATCTTGCTTCACTGTGATCCAAAAATGAAGTACCAACTTGGCAAAGGTCAAATATAAGCTTATGATATTGCATGAATTAACAAAGACTGGATCTTTCAGTTTACATCTTACCATATTGTTCATAATCTTACAGTTCTTTTCCTCCTCTCTAACAATTTCTCCTGAACTGATTAGATACGAGATGAACTTCGCAAGGAGACCTTGCAGCTTGCAAGTGAGTGGCCTGAATCTCTCGCAACAATTCTCTTCTGACTTCCTAATGAACCTGGGGAATGCTAATAGTGTCCATTCTTTGATGAACAGGAGAAAATTTGGACAAGGAGCCTCGAATAATGGAGCTAAGAAATCAAGTGAGACCAGACTCAATACTCTACTTATGTTTCCTTTCTTCCATCTAATATGCTCATTCCTCTCCGCCGTTGCCATTTTTAACTCCTTATCCATCTGCCAGTGCCGGATCATACGAACAACTGAGCTGGCTGCTGCTCAAGAGAAACTGAACAACCTCGAAAGAAAGAAAGATGAGATGCTGAGGTCATCTTCTCCAGCCTCCCTCCTCCACAAGCTTCAAGGTAAAGCTCCAACAAATTACCATAGCTATCTACAATTTTTTTATGTCCAGTGCTCTCTCTTGTGAACCTTTTCAAGTTGACTCAAAACCCATTGCATAAACATTTTTGCAGAGGCAATGGGCAAAGCAGAGGACGAATCCGAAGCTTTACACAGACAGTTTCTTGACAGAGAGATCGATCTCCCCACGTTTGTGCAGAGGTACAAGAAGCTCCGAACCACGTACCACAAGCGAGCGCTCATCCAGTTAGCTGCAAAGACATCAACGGGCTGACGACAGTGACGTTGAGTAGGGATACTTGTGATCTTTGCTCTCTTTTGTGTATTCCTACAATGTCACTATAGGTGCTCCAAACTTCGTAACATGTTTACTTCCATTGTAGGTAATGTATTTTCTTCAATCACGTTTTTACGTTGAATTTTCCGGTACTTGCCATTATAATCCATTCTGTTACAATCTATGTAAATAACCCGTTCAAAGATTCCCAAAATTCTGAGTTCAATGGATGTGAAAGTGCTACACTTGCTACTCCTACCATTACAAACTAGAGGTACATTCATCGGAAAATCTTCTCTCCACTGCCACTATTTAGGCACATTCACCATCTGCTCTTAGTTACAGAAGATGAGAGAAGACGGGAATCATTCTGCTACGAACAGGAAACGAAAGAGACAAGATACGAGCATGGAAGAGCTTTAATGTTGTTCATTCAAGCGATCTAGTTCCTTCTCCCACTTGAGCCCAAACATCTGCCTACCGAAAGGGACGATGAGGTTGTACCGGAAAACCTGCAACCAAAACCATAATCCGAACTCGATAAACAAGACACGATCGCGCGCAGCCAAAATATGAATCAAACAGAAGTTGTGAGAGGAGAGGCAAAGCGCCGCTGACCTTGTCATTGATGCCTCTCAACTGAGCTTTCAGGGCTGCAGAGACCTCAACCCATTTGGAGGAAGGATCATTGCCACTGCACTTGCTTGCCCATGCTTTCTTCAACCCGGACCGCCATTCGGATATTTGGCTCCTGATCTCCTTGTTCAGCTCGACCCATTCTGGAGCGCAACCGTTCTTGGAGAGGATTCTGTACAATGTGTCCTCGGCAGGGTCGGCGTGCGGGTTGGTTTCGAGGTTCAGAGGCTTCCCTTTCCCTGGCAAGTTTTCGAATTGGCCTTCCTCCATTGAGTGCCAGATTCTTTGCTCAACAACATTGATTATATCCGTCTCTGACCTACATCATTGCCAAATGGTAAGAGCTAAGAACAATGAGATGAGATTCTCCAGTTAGACAATGAACTGAATTCTGCTCAATTCATCAACTTGATATTATGAATCTCAGTTCAGTTAATTATTGGAGCTAGCTACTACAGATCAATTGAAGGTTGATATCATTTGGGAACTAAGAAACCCTAGGTTTTCTCTGTCACTGACTGACCTCACGTTATTGCGCTGGCCACGGAGCTCCGGAGGGAGCTTACGGTCATTGACGGCGTCTATCACCGTCGATAGGCGGTCCGTCAGCTTCTTCCGAGGCTCCGACGAATCAGAAGACGACGACGACGACGAATCCGAAAACGACGACGCGCACCTCGGCCCCGACACGAATTGCCCAGCCATGATCGTGGGATTACCCCTCGTTGATTTTCCAATTTGGCAAGCCGACGACGACGACGATGAAGAGGAGCGGGCAGCGGAGATAGCTCGGAGGATCCGGGCGGTGGCCATGGCGCGGTCGAGCCAGAAAGGGGGAAGATTCAGGAGCTTGGCAGCGGAGCTCTCTGGAACCGCAGAATTAAAAAAGTTCTCTCTGGTTCAGTTATTTGAATGTCGGGCGGCCGCAATGTTGCCCACGTGTCACTTTCGGCGCCAGCCACGTTTTTGGCGGTAAAATGGGCCTTCCGTTTCGTTGTCAACTTCCGGGAACGGAACGGAAAAGTTCAATTTTCACCCCTTTACTTTCTCATTCTCATCGTTACAGCACCCAAACTCTGAATTTCCTCGTTTAGATTATAGTTTCGTAACGAGACGATCAAAACTTCGAAAGAATTTTAGGTTTTATCATAAGGTTCAGTGTTTATATCAATGTCTTCCTTACAAAATCATTTCAATTTAGTCGTTCTAAATAGCAAAATAATACACGTTTAAAACAGAAAAAATATCAGTATTTGGTTTCAGGGTAACGATAGTACTCCTGATCATCACCGGATTTGTCATCAGACTCGCCAATCTCCGGTCGCTCGCACCTTGGGTGCGTGTAGTAGAACGATCCGACGTCGTACTTGGTGGTGCCACGGTACGCCGACGTGGGCTGGCTGAGCCTGACGCCGGACTTCCCTCCGGCGAAGTCGGTGAGAACGTTGCAGTCGGAATCAGGGGAGCTCACGAGCCTGACCCAGCACTGTTTCTCGTTCAGTCGCTTCCCGTTGACGTACTTGCTCACCACCATCTCGTACTCCCCTCGCTCGTCGGTCACGTCGCTGTCGTAGTGATGCACCCGCTTCCGGTCGTCCATACACGTCAGCGACACCGTGCTGCCTGAGAAAAAGAAAAATGGTGGGTTATATTTGGTGTTTTGCCACCTCTAGCAACAATGGCGACCAGAGGTCAGAAATGAAGGCAAGGGTCAATGATCGTTGTTTACCTTTGATGGGTCGTTCGCCGCTGATCCAGTCTTTGTAGCTCTTCTGGCAGTCCTGGCAGAGGACCTTGCCGGAGACATGGATGAGCTCCGACGTGGGAGCTTCCTCGTCCCAATTCGCCGCCGCAGAAGTTACTGCGAACAAGATCAGGACTGTAGCTGCAAAGATGGAGGAAGTAGTAGCAGCCATTCCTCTCTTCTTTGCTGTCTTTCTTTTCCCAAATTGAGAGATGTTTTGAGACATGTAGGGGTTCAGTGTTTGCATTTATATAAAATCAACAGAAGTAGTGGATGAGCACTACTAAACCACGACGCCAGGCAACAATATAATAAATATACCAAGATAATAGAACAGAGGAGATTCAACGTCTGTAGCTGATGCAACAAATTCATTGATTTCTAAACTGAAGTTCATGTTGGACAATGCATTGAATCAAAACTGATTTTACAGGGTTTCAGCAAACACGATCGAAACCACTATAACCAATAGGGAAAAGGCGACCACGAAATGGCTACAGAAGAAAACACTCAACCCCATCACTACGGCGGTATCACAACAAACCGGCAGACTTGAGAGCCGCCGCGAAGTCTTCTTCGCTCCTCCAAGATGGGACCTAAGAACACAATGCACAGGAAAACAGTTTAGATACGAAACAGCTATGTAACACGGAATCACAAAGTGTTTCTGCAACTATGCCGGTTTTTAATTCTTAAAGATAAAGAATGGGATCATCTTTACCTCAGTGACGGGGCTATCGAAGTAGCGCTCGATCTTCTCCATCAGCACCCGATCGGCGTCAGTCATGATGAGGTTGAACACGGCTCCTGCATGCGTCATATCAACAAGCAATCAGAATCATATTGGTTTTAAAAAGGTAGAGACTGAAGAACACTAACAACACTGAAAGGCAACTCACCTTTCCTTCCAAAACGCCCAGCCCTACCGATTCTGTGCAGGTAGACCTCGAAATGAGGCTCTCGTGGAACTCTACGATCTTGAGGCTGCTCGTTATTATCATACTTGACAGGCAGGTCGAAGTTTATAACCAAATTAACCTGCAACAGGAAAAAATAGTAAGCGCTTTAATCTTTTTCCAAATTCAGCATTCATATTTAAACTTCCATGATACAACATACCCGTTGCTGATCAAATCCTCGAGCGAGCACATCGGTCGAAATGAGAACTTTGGTCAGATTGTCTTTGAACTCCTTGACAATCTTGTCACGGTCTTCATGATTAAGAGCACCGTGTATTGTTGTAACTTCATAACCGAGTTCGACAAGAGCAGTGTGCAACATGCTAGCACATTTCTTTGAATTCACGAAGATAATGATCTGCCCAAGCTTCTCGCCGAGTTCGAGGATTCTGTCCTTTATCACCCGAATCTTGATCTGCTCATCAGGGCAGAACACCTTGTACTGCTTAACAGACTCCAACGACAGTTCTTCTTTTTTGACAAATAGTTGATTGTAGTCGTGGACAACCTTAGAGACGAAATTCTTCACATTTTCGTCAAAGGTAGCCGAGAAAAGAAGAACCTGCAAATGCAAATTAGTACCGGTTAGAAGTCAATGGCTACATTTCAATCACCCATAAAACTTGAAGAGAATAACTTTATGAAGTATAACAACAAACCTGAGCATTCCGTTGGGCTTTCCGGATGTCCCTTATGATCCTGAGGGAGTCGTCTTGAAAGCCATCCTGCATGAATTAAACAGTAAGAACCCCAGAAAACTTGAGAACAAATTAGACCAACAGCAATTTCATATGCACTGGAAAACCTATTCATGGAATCGAAAGGACTAGAGATCACCACAAGTATAACTCCAAGATCAAGTATGACACGGAATTTTGCTGGCACTTGACAGTTCCTCTAAGGAAGTTATATACTTGGACACTCTGCATGGTGATTTTTATCCTATACTCGTCCAAGAGGGACCAACAGTTCTACAATTTAAAAAAACAGCACAAAGCAACAATTACGCAGCAATGAAACCAATGTACACTGGTGTATCAAAAGACCAATCAGAGTAACTGCAATTGCATATGCACTGCAAAAGACCAATTCATGGAATTCAAACCACTGGCCATGAGTTGGTGGTTTGCTGACACTTGAAGGTTCTTCTAAGAAAGTTACATGCTTTGGCACTCTACAAGACGACTTTTATACCGAGTTTTACTATCCACAAAACCAGAACACAGCATTGATCATGCAGCAATGAAGCCAATGGACAATGGGGTATCACAAGTAAACCAACACAGATTCGAGGCAAGTAATATCACAAGAAATCCCAAGTTACCTTTGCCAGCATGTGATCTGCCTCATCAAATACGAGAACTTTCATTTCTTGGACGCTTAGTTTTCTCTGTGACATCCACCTTTTGATGGTTCCCGGGGTGCCAATAACAACTTGAGCAAACACTGGATTCCGATTGAACTTCTCACTACCACTGTCCACAGGCACGGCACATTCGAACGTAATCCCAGTGTGCTTCCCCATCTTCTCTAGAACTTCTATGTTCTGCAAGTACCAATTACTATGAGCCAAACCAGACTAAATACGGTAATTCATACTCCTTTTTCTTGCTAATCCACAAATGACATCAAGTTCAAACTGATTCTGCATACAGGAATTCATCTTCTCTAGAACTTCAATGTTATGCAAGCACCAATCACTATGAGCCAAACCAGACTAGATGCGGAAGTCATACTCTTTTCTCTTGCTAATCCACAAATGACATCAAGTTCAAACAGATTCTGCACACAGGAATCATAGCAAAAAGATCCAAATCAAACAGGAGGGCCTGACCTGAATAGACAATTCCCTGGTAGGGCATATGCATAGTGCTTGTGGAGCTTTTAGGGATGGATCTACACGACTCAGCATTCCCAGCACGAAGCAAGTGGTCTTCCCCGAACCGTTGTGCGCCTGAGCTATCAAATCCTTGTACGGAGGAGTCAGGATCATCGGCAGACTAATGGCCTGAATCTTACTAGGCTTCTCGAACTTCATCTCCACGTACAAACCCTTCAACAATTCCGGCGAGAGGTTGAGCTCCTCAAACGTCGCAGCAGACGAATACGGAGTTTCACCTGTGGTCACCTATTCCATCCACATCCAGGAAAGACAAACACGAAGGAATCAGATGAACTTCGATTACTTCCGTTCTCCCATTCGAGAGCTTAGCAACCGCGAAAGAGAGAGCGAGGATGGGAAATACTCACAGCTTCGATTTTGGAGTCTTCGGGCTCTTCGAGGAACTCGTTGACCTTCTTCTCGGTCTCGACCAGTTTGAGCGTCTCGATCTCGAGCTCGGAGACGTCGGATTTCGACGGCCCCTCGCCGATCGGGGACGGCGGCGGCGGAAGCTTGTCCTCATCCTCTGCCTCGTCCCCCCAGGACCTCTTCACCTCCGGCGGGGATATCTTTTCCGACATTATCGCAGCAAGACCGAACGTTGGAGGGCCGATGAAGGATGGAGGAGAACAGAGTGAGAGACTGCCGGAGAGCTGCAACTTAACCGCTAAATCTTTTTTGTTTTTTCTAATCTCCGAATCAAGTCAAACGACTTCTTATAGGCGGTGAAACTGTGACCCGTCACCCGCCCGCTTAGATTTTAAGCAGAAGCCCAGAAGGGGAAATGTTTTCCTTTACCTGATTTGGTTTTAACTTGCGGGCGGGGATTTTTTGTACCCGGTCCATCTAGCAAGTATCCTTTTTTTATATGGTTTATATTATTGTATAATTAATTTCAAAAAATATTTACAATCTCTAATTTAAGGTATTGGTTCATAAATTAATTAATTTCAAAAAATATTTACAATCTCTTGTTTAAGATAATTGGTTCATAAATTATTTCTCAATCAAAATATTCTATCATGAACCAAAAATTCTTCATCCACGTTATTTATTGAGTGATTATTATTCGTCAAATATATTCGATTCTTGATCGACCAAATTAATCTCCATCTTTTGTCGAGGTTTGTTGGTCGTTCATGTTATTTATCTTAAATTGAGAATTCGCAAGATGAATGTTAACCCCATTATATGCAATCAATTATTATATGCAATCAATCGAGACTTATCAAACTTTCACTTGTTTGATTTCGCTAAATTTCACATATTTTGGTCTAGTGTTTGAAAAGAAGTTTTGACATTTTATTTATGAAAGGGGGTGAAATGAAATTAACCACTATTTGTTTTAGCTATCGACTAGTTGATTTCTTTTTATTTTTCTTCTATCCAGCATTTCTAGCCGATACTTTTCTTCATACTATTTCTGAAGTATCATTATGTATACGCTTTGTCTATGTTACATGTAACACCCTAACCCGATAGGGTGCTACTTTTACCAAAATACCCTTGAAAAGTAACGAATATTAAAATGCTTTGAACAACAGCGGAAACCTCGTACATTTAACAATACTTAAAACATGAACAACCTTGAGATATTTGTCTTAATAAATCTTCATCGTAAAATCACATCAAGTCTCTCGTCCCACTAAAGTAATGAAATTAACCTCTTCCTTCTGGAGTGCACTTGAGCCAATGATGCTGAATCCATATGCGTGCTTATGTACTTATACCATTCCTGAATGCGGGCGTTGGGGTCAGTCCTAATCCTATATTCCATTCTTAACATCATATATATAAAATGAACCAACATACATAATGAGTGCAAATGCTCATGCATAAATATTTACCGGACATGTAAATGTTTTTCTTGAAATAGACATTCTTTACGAAAAGGGGGCCCCGAGCTCAACTTAACTAGCACGCCACCACGATCACCGACATACTTGAACATGATCTTATTACCCAGGAGTAGGGTTCGTGACCTCCTTATTACCCAGGAGTGGGGTTCGTAACCTCCTTTTTACCCAGGAGTAGGGTTCGTAACCTCCTTAATCATAACATGAGGTGACCGCGTGCGGCTAGCTAAGTGAGGGTTAAAACATGATCTTGCTTACTTACTGAACCTACTTGCTTGACATGATGATCATCCTCCGCTCAATGGGAGATCTAATCTTATGACTTGCTTAACTTATAAAATCGTACTTCTTTTAAAAGTAACTTGACTTGCTTAAAACATATGTATCCATGAAACATGATCATGCTATGCATACTTAAGACATAACTTGTATGTCTTGTCTTAAACCATAACTTTGCGATGCAATGCCATGCCATGCTATGCTTAAGAAATGAACATAATTCATAAACTTGGAAATGGATCTCATGAACACATAGCTCAAGCATAAATAGCATTTAAAGACATATCAATTAATTCAAGCAACATGCAGTGTAAATAACTCAGAATGAAATACTAACTAATGCCCCCTCAAACCACGCACCTTATTTGGCCGAGCAGTTAAACTTGATCTAGCCACCAACTCAAAGGATCGGTGCCCGAGAGAAGATGATTTGCCTTCTCAACCTATGGCGAACGATCGAGGTTAGATCGGTTGGATACTTTGGTTCTTAGCGACGGTTCTTAATTTGGGACTACTTTGCAATATGTGCAAAGTATAAGGGCTTGCTAAACTCTTATTAAATGTAGCTACGATAATTAAATCCCTTAATTCAACATAAATTCCTTCTAATTAGTCTATCAATAAACTTAGATGGTCAATCAATAATATTACTACTTATAATATTCTTGTTGGTCAAAACTGATAGATTTACTCATTAACTACTCATATCAATATAGCCCCTTACTCGATTCATTATATTCTAGTTTTACATCGTGAGGATATTCTACCTGTCAAAATTGATATTTGCTAACTAATAAGTTAAATCAGCAACATCTATAAACATGCTAGACGAACCGGTTAACAACATTATTAATCATACTTATTAGTTTAAATACTCAACTAACGAGAACTAAATCATCTAATCAACTACTAAGTTATTGATTAACATCGTGATCATATGCTAACAAGTGACCCATTAAATCAACTAACTAATTCAGTAAATCAATTGCTAAGTAATCCAATCGACACTACCTAATCGATACTCATAACCTAGATAAAAGATTACAGCTCCTATAGTGACGGATACTGAATTGGTTACTAAAGCACATTTACTGCTCGTCTCTAAAGGCTGCCTCTGCTTCTAATTGGTCAGCCTTTCGCGACAATAAAAGAGCCGACGCAGAAAGCCTGCAAATGCCGTCGCTAATTACCCAGAATTTCACAAACTCCTATTTAGTAGTCCAAACGTCGATTTAAACGCGATGGGTCGAGTTTCCTTACCTCGTATTCGTGCCTAGACATCGATACAAAGATGTATCGACATTCGATGACCCCGCATCTTCCCCGTCAAGGCTATTGGTCAGGAGGGTGAGACGACATAATGAGTAATTGCATACGTAGCCTTTTTATGGTGGCGACGTTGATGCCGGCATGATGGCGACGATGAGAAACTTGGCGGACAATAATGACCGGAAAATATGGGATAAGTTTATGATGATAGAGGGTGAGACTTTCTTGTGGGGAAATCACTAGTGACCTGATGTGGAGGAGATGAGAGCATGGTGGTGTACGGTTGTGAAAGGAGGGAAGAACTTACCCTCTCTTATATATATTGTTGTGATTGGAAAGGGTTCAGCAGATTAGATCATGTGATGTGGGATTAATAATAGTGGTTCATTAATGTTTAAATGAGGAGCTGGTAGTGCACTGGTGGCAATAAAGAATGGAATGGGCAATTGGGCATTGGAGTGATGAAGATGCCGGTTGTTGTGTGGGTGTGACACTTCGCTGGCTCCATAAATGAGTGTTTCATTGTTTATACAATTATGCACAAGGGTAAGAAGGGAAACACCAAGTTTTTGCGGTTTGGGATGTTACATTTCCTCCCCTCTTATAAAAATTTCGTCCCCGAAATTTACTGATGAGTGTAGCTCCTCACGTCTAGTCATGTGAACTTGTTATCCTTATACATAGGCATTCGTATCTCCTGAACTGACTTGACATAACTTATCGCTTCTACCTAAATCAAAGTCCTCGTTCTTATTCTTAAATCGTTCGTATCCTCGCGAGGCGTATCTTGTCATTCCTTGACCACCTTGAACCAACCGTCTTGGTTTACCACTCCAGAACTATTAGAGAACGAGACTTGATGTTTTCAAAACTAATCTTGAATTCAATTGGCTAGTTGAAATTGCCAAAACCTTTTAAAACTTTCCTTGAAAACATAGAGATCGATTTCCCAGTATCTCACTTAGATAGTGAAGACAGAGGGAGACCGGCTCTGATACCACTTGTAACACCCTAACCCGATAGGGTGCTACTTTTACCAAAATACCCTTGAAAAGTAACGAATATTAAAATGCTTTGAACAACAGCGGAAACCTCGTACATTTAACAATACTTAAAACATGAACAACCTTGAGATATTTGTCTTAATAAATCTTCATCGTAAAATCACATCAAGTCTCTCGTCCCACTAAAGTAATGAAATTAACCTCTTCCTTCTGGAGTGCACTTGAGCCAATGATGCTGAATCCATATGCGTGCTTATGTACTTATACCATTCCTGAATGCGGGCGTTGGGGTCAGTCCTAATCCTATATTCCATTCTTAACATCATATATATAAAATGAACCAACATACATAATGAGTGCAAATGCTCATGCATAAATATTTACCGGACATGTAAATGTTTTTCTTGAAATAGACATTCTTTACGAAAAGGGGGCCCCGAGCTCAACTTAACTAGCACGCCACCACGATCACCGACATACTTGAACATGATCTTATTACCCAGGAGTAGGGTTCGTGACCTCCTTATTACCCAGGAGTGGGGTTCGTAACCTCCTTTTTACCCAGGAGTAGGGTTCGTAACCTCCTTAATCATAACATGAGGTGACCGCGTGCGGCTAGCTAAGTGAGGGTTAAAACATGATCTTGCTTACTTACTGAACCTACTTGCTTGACATGATGATCATCCTCCGCTCAATGGGAGATCTAATCTTATGACTTGCTTAACTTATAAAATCGTACTTCTTTTAAAAGTAACTTGACTTGCTTAAAACATATGTATCCATGAAACATGATCATGCTATGCATACTTAAGACATAACTTGTATGTCTTGTCTTAAACCATAACTTTGCGATGCAATGCCATGCCATGCTATGCTTAAGAAATGAACATAATTCATAAACTTGGAAATGGATCTCATGAACACATAGCTCAAGCATAAATAGCATTTAAAGACATATCAATTAATTCAAGCAACATGCAGTGTAAATAACTCAGAATGAAATACTAACTAATGCCCCCTCAAACCACGCACCTTATTTGGCCGAGCAGTTAAACTTGATCTAGCCACCAACTCAAAGGATCGGTGCCCGAGAGAAGATGATTTGCCTTCTCAACCTATGGCGAACGATCGAGGTTAGATCGGTTGGATACTTTGGTTCTTAGCGACGGTTCTTAATTTGGGACTACTTTGCAATATGTGCAAAGTATAAGGGCTTGCTAAACTCTTATTAAATGTAGCTACGATAATTAAATCCCTTAATTCAACATAAATTCCTTCTAATTAGTCTATCAATAAACTTAGATGGTCAATCAATAATATTACTACTTATAATATTCTTGTTGGTCAAAACTGATAGATTTACTCATTAACTACTCATATCAATATAGCCCCTTACTCGATTCATTATATTCTAGTTTTACATCGTGAGGATATTCTACCTGTCAAAATTGATATTTGCTAACTAATAAGTTAAATCAGCAACATCTATAAACATGCTAGACGAACCGGTTAACAACATTATTAATCATACTTATTAGTTTAAATACTCAACTAACGAGAACTAAATCATCTAATCAACTACTAAGTTATTGATTAACATCGTGATCATATGCTAACAAGTGACCCATTAAATCAACTAACTAATTCAGTAAATCAATTGCTAAGTAATCCAATCGACACTACCTAATCGATACTCATAACCTAGATAAAAGATTACAGCTCCTATAGTGACGGATACTGAATTGGTTACTAAAGCACATTTACTGCTCGTCTCTAAAGGCTGCCTCTGCTTCTAATTGGTCAGCCTTTCGCGACAATAAAAGAGCCGACGCAGAAAGCCTGCAAATGCCGTCGCTAATTACCCAGAATTTCACAAACTCCTATTTAGTAGTCCAAACGTCGATTTAAACGCGATGGGTCGAGTTTCCTTACCTCGTATTCGTGCCTAGACATCGATACAAAGATGTATCGACATTCGATGACCCCGCATCTTCCCCGTCAAGGCTATTGGTCAGGAGGGTGAGACGACATAATGAGTAATTGCATACGTAGCCTTTTTATGGTGGCGACGTTGATGCCGGCATGATGGCGACGATGAGAAACTTGGCGGACAATAATGACCGGAAAATATGGGATAAGTTTATGATGATAGAGGGTGAGACTTTCTTGTGGGGAAATCACTAGTGACCTGATGTGGAGGAGATGAGAGCATGGTGGTGTACGGTTGTGAAAGGAGGGAAGAACTTACCCTCTCTTATATATATTGTTGTGATTGGAAAGGGTTCAGCAGATTAGATCATGTGATGTGGGATTAATAATAGTGGTTCATTAATGTTTAAATGAGGAGCTGGTAGTGCACTGGTGGCAATAAAGAATGGAATGGGCAATTGGGCATTGGAGTGATGAAGATGCCGGTTGTTGTGTGGGTGTGACACTTCGCTGGCTCCATAAATGAGTGTTTCATTGTTTATACAATTATGCACAAGGGTAAGAAGGGAAACACCAAGTTTTTGCGGTTTGGGATGTTACATTACACATTCACATTGCTTAGAAGAAGAGAAGAAAAAAGAAGTTTTAGGTCAAGTGGAAAACATAACTTGCTTTTGGTTAAGATGAAAAGTTATTTATTGCCTATGAGATTTATCATAATTCATATATGCACATAAAGTAGTAAGTAATCACAATTCAGTAACCTATTATTACCTACACTTGGGGAAAAAATAAGGAAAACCCATAAGCAGCCAGACCAAGTATAAAAACTAAAATAAATGGAAAAGAAAATTGCAGAAGTTGTCCAAAATCCTCGTCCATGCTATTACTGAAAAAAATAAAAGAGTTCTGTCTCCAGAGAACTAATCAAAGAAAGCTACCAATGTACCAAAAATCCAGCAAACAGAAAATGGTAAAAAACCTGAAGTCTCCCCTCACTAAGGTAAATCCAGAACTTGAAGAAGACACAAAAAAGAAAAGGGAAAGATTTCGCGGATCCACTAGGCGCCTGAGTATCAAAACTTTGGTGCTCTATATCCTCACCAGAGTATATTGGCAGAGTAAAGGTCATCTTCTTTTGTATCAGTTGACAGCAACCTCGGCGGAGAGATGGTAGCCGGAATGCATGTTATCCTGGCCACCGCCGGAGACTTTGTTCTTGGACAGCTTGAGCACCTGCACAGCTTCCTCCACCTTGGCGGCCAGAGATTCCGGAGATTCCAGCAACAGAAGCAGCTCCGCATTGTCCATCTCCAGCAGCATTCCGGTGATCTTTGCCACGAGATCAGGCTGCACGCAAGAGCAGATGATTTAAGTCCCTCGTTGGTTAGAGCTTTGATGGTCCAAAGATGGACACTAAGCATGCATTTGTCACATATCATGCACAGTCAAAACAATTTAAAATGTCTAATGGTGCATAATGAAGGAAACTAATCTTCTCATATGTTAATGGTGACTTGATTCACAAGAAAATATATGTGAACTGCATCTGTTGAACATTGTGACCGAACTAGTCCAAACAGCGTTGGATGAAGAATAATTGGTGTTGAATGAAGAAATTTAGTCTGCTCATATGTTAAGACAACGGTGAAACGTTGCAACGATATCAGTATGGTCAAATCGAAAACGTTGTAAAGAGTCAATGAGTTCTAGGAGGGATTGAAGAATAGAAAGAAAGAAAGAATTACCTTGTGCTTCTGGACAAGAGGGTAAAGATGCTCTCCTAGAATCTGCTTCTGCTCCTCAGGGGTAGAAGAAGCAAGCATGGTGCTCAGCATTTCTGATCCTTGTGACGCAGGCCCAGAAGAGTTTGGAGCAGCCGACGAGACTCCAGGAGACTTGCTTGATTCGCGTGAGCGACCATTTGGGACGTACTTTACTGGGGCAGCCCGCTGTATGAAATCACAGATGGCTGATACAGATTAGGTTCTGGAGGAAATGCAAGATTGAATTACCACTGTACAGACTCAAGTTCGACAGTCAGAAAGAGTTTGTAGTATTATGCTACTGCTGGAGATAGGAAAGAGAATGACCTGGTTGTTTTGATCTTTCTGTGAAGGCAGAGGTGGAGACCCAGGTTGCAAATAGGAAGCAGAGTTGGCAATGCCTTGAGGAGGAAGCATGTTACCATTCATCCTAACCCTGTTTTGCCTTGGCTGCCTTTGAGCATTAGGCATCTGCAGAAAAAGCAGGAAGAAACAGAATAAGGGACAATGACAAAGTAATAAGTCGAAACACACGACAAAACAAATCAAAGAGAACAAACCATGGGAAGCTGGCCTGGTTGATAAGTTGGTCTGGTTGGAGGAACAAAGGCATTAGGCCTCCATCCAGGCCTAATACCCATAGGCTGGTACATAAGTCCAGGCCTTGGAGGGACTTGTGAAACGAGCCCGGGTGGAGCAGTATAGTAAAGCGGATGATATCCACCAGGCATGACAGCAGTAGAAGGTCCAGGTAGCCCAACCATGCGTTGTGCATACTGCATCTGTAATTGTATTTGTCTATCCTCCTTCCTTTGAGCAATAGCTACATACAATGGCTTTCGGTGAAACATGCACCCTGTGGACATGAAAGATCGCACATATAACAGCTACTAAAAGACATCAACTTCCAAAGCACCAGACCGACTAGGGACATCAATGTAACAGAAATATAACAGGCAAACTTCAGTTAAGAATTATAAAACCCCATGTTTGTCCAAGTTTCAAGTTATGGGAAGCTAAGCTCCAGGTTCATGTTCAACAGAATTCTCCACACTATTTTCTAAATTATCAGATCCATAAGAAGCATCCATGTTTTCCCACACAAAGATAGCTCAAAGGTGTAAACATAATACTTAGCAGATTATCTCTATTAGAATCTCGCATGTAGAAGAAAGATCGTCAACTTACCTTGAAATGTATTCACCGCTTTGTTTGCCTCCTCAGGAGTGGAGAAGCAGACAAAGCCAAATCCCTTACTCACTCCTTTCTCATCTCTCATAAGCTTTGCGGAAGTGATTGTGCCACATTGGCTGAAGTGCTCTCTCAGTTCTTCATCAGTGACATCATCGTCTATGTTCTTAACATACACATTTGAACCCTGCATTTATGAGAGGAAAAGGGATTCACAGGTTGGCTTAACAATGGCACTGGTTGTCAATCTGTTTCTATGGGCATATAGCCATATCCTAGTTACAGAGTGACAAAAAAAATGCTAGCATCAAGGTGATTGGAACGGGCTTATTTTAAATCCATGTGAGCACTATCATTTTGGATTAAATCTAGTTTTACACATTAGAGAATTTAAACTAGGTGTTGGTCTAGGGGTCACAAGAGCGACATGAAGGGAGTTTCAAGACTTGAAAGCACCTCTCAATCCTGAAATTTTCTATTAGTACCTTGTATTTCAATATCTGCTCCTTGCGTTTCTCTTCAAACTGACGACGCAGAATCTGCTCCCTCTCAGCTTTTTTCTGTGCCCTTCCTACATACAGGATCTTTGATCCTGCTTACAGAACAAGGACAAAGAATCCCAGTCATAACAGTTACCAAAAAAATGCATTTCGTACTGCTAAATCAATGGCCAAAGGATACATAATGTACCAAGTGCAATCCCATGCATCGCTTCCAAAGCACTCCTGGCATCATCTGGGTTATCAAAATTCACAAAACCAAAACCCCTAGATGATCCATTGTCATCCCTAGCAATTACCAAGCTAGACACTGTGCCATACTTGGAGAATTTCTCACGTAGAACCTCTTCTGTGACATCTAGCTCCAAGTTCTTGACATACAGATTAGTGTATTTAGCATCAGGGCTGGCCAAAGCTCGATCGCATTTCTTAATGAACTTCGCGACATAACTGCACCATAGATTGTAGCCACTAGTTAAACTGGAACCAAGTTTGTCTAACAATGAAGCAGGAAGCAGAGAAAATGTAGTAGTAGCAAACAGTAAGCAGAGAAAATGTCGTGAAAAGAAAACAACAGAATGAAACTCCTCTTACATCTGCTTATCATGAAACAAGGTGTCATTGAGCTTTTCAATAGCAGAATGAGCAGATTCCTCGTTATCAAATTGAACAAAGCCATGGCCTTTAGTCTTTCCATCATCAGTCGTCGCAACTTTGCAAGACACAACATTTCCGTACTGAGCAAACAGCTCTTGCAGTGCAGCACTAGTGACAGATTCACTCAAGTTCTGCACCAGGCGGCGAAAACACATTTTGTGTCAGTCACACTCACACCCCACTACCATGAAATCTTTCTATGGAACTAATGTAGAACAATTACCTTGACAAACACATTTCCCACTCCACTCTTTCTAGCATCAGGATCGCGGGATGACCACATAATCCTCATCGCTTTCCCATTCAGTGGAGTGTGGTTCATCACTTCGAGGGCTTCCATAGCTTCTTAGGCAGAGACCAACAACACAAAGTAAAAGGAGTTGTTAAATTCTCATGCATATGAACAGTAACAGATTAAAAAAAAAACATTCAGACATTCACTGATCCACAATTGTTTTGAACAATTGCACAAGAACATAAATCTTCACTGCCTCACTAATCAGTAATGAATTATGGATTTCCATCTACCCATATGTCTCAACAATTTGTTTATCAAGTAGGAAAACACTGTTCTCCATTACAGTTGACTAGTAGGCCACAATGCCACCACTTCCACTCCACCACCAAAAGCAAATAGGAGATCCAAACAAGCAGAGCATTAGCCAAATTCATCATCAAATTTCCCATCAAATACATACACCATCTTCTCCTCCACGTAACTATTTACCATTGCGGCAGTTCCAAGGCGATCAACAGAGTAGACAAATAAACAAAGCAGGAAAACCAGTCATTACTGAGAAAAGGGACAAATCTAAGCCGCAAAATTATAATAATAATTAAGAAAAACGAAATCTCTATTACGTCGAATCGCTCCTCTTCCAAATCAGAATCCAACAACCAGTCACACATCATCAAAAGGTTGCATCTGAAATCGACTCCGATTCCTGGAACCGAATTCCCTTCACACTTCCCCGAGAAACAACACAGAGTGATAACAGAGTCAAATTCCGATTCGACAATTCAGGTGCGCATCGGAATTGAATCAGATAATCGAGCGATGAATATGAAAGCGAGGCATCCACATTATCCATCCACGATGAACAAAACGAAGGGGGGGAAAAAATAGAAAATCAATTCCGAATTGTATACCGTCTTGCGGAGAGATGAAGTTGACGTAACCGTAGCTGAGAGACCTCCCGTTGGTGGAGTCCCGGCACACGCGCACGGACGCGACGCTCTCGAATTCGGAGAACGCGGCCTTCAGCTGGTCCTCGTCGACGGCGGGGTGCAGGTCCCCGACGTACAGCGCCGTCGTCGGAACCGTCGCTGCAGGCACAGCCGCCATGGTCGAAATTCCTCTCCTCGATCGATTCCGTTCGGATTCAGCGAAATGCCGAGCGATCGCGAGCGCGGGGGAGAATGGCCAGTGACGTTTAGCGACGAATTGAGAGCGAGAGAGTCGAAGGAAAGGGACGGAGAGAGAGAGAGAGAGAGAGAGGGAAAGCTGCGTTTCTCTTCTGCTTCTTCCTCTTCGCTTTCTGGCGTCTCTTTTTGTGATTCTGTTTGGCTTATTTATGGCAGTTTTTTTTTTTTTTTGGAAGTTATAGAAGGCAGAAGTTTAAATGACTGAATTGATGAAAAGGAAAGGAGAGAAGGCTGTAATTTGGAAAGAATGCAAAAGGAATGGTTGTGGTGGTGGAGGAGGTGGTGGCGACGGGGAGAATGCAGCGGCGCCGGCGGCCGTTGGCGGTGGAGGAGGGGAATTGGAAAACGAAGGGAAGTGGGAAGGAAGAGGAGTTTTCGTTTGTTTGTTGTGTGGGTAGTGTGGTGAGAGAGACTGTGTGTGGATTTTGCATGGGGGCTAGAGGAGGTTAGTTGGAAGATTTCCTATTAGGATGCCGAATTTCCTCTCATATTCCACACGCGCCTCTTTATCGCGTAGCAACCACGCCTTTTTTTTGTAGAGTTTGGTAATTATTATTTATTTATTTCATTTTTGTTTCTTTGTAATATAATTATGATTAAATATTTTTTCTTTTTCATGTACTAATAGAAAATTGTATGTAAAGTTACTTTTTGTACATAAGGTTAATATTAGTATTGAGACTATAAAAAAAAATATTAGTATTGAGACACCTATTTATATTTATATTTATCTCTTTTATTCATGAAGTTCAGAATGGCAAAAGATTGCAAGAATTTAAACCAATTTCCTGTTGCAATGCCGTATGTAAAGGCATATCTAAATTACTAGCAAATAGATTGTCTTTAGTATTGCCTAAACTTATTAGTGTAGCTCAATTAGCGTTTGTGAATGGTATACTTATTTAGTGAAAACATGTTAATGGCTACAGAACTTGTGAAAGATTACTATAAAACTACTGTCACACTATGTTGTGTTGTTAAGGTGGATTTGATGAAGGCTTTCGATTCAGTTTGTTGGAAATTTTTGTTCGAAGTTCTTCAAGACATGGGGTTTCCTTGTGTCTACGCTTATGTTCAGTGTGTCTTTTAATGGGGGTATGTGTGGGTATTTTCCTGTTGGAAAAGGAAATAGCCAGGGAGATCCACTATCACCCTACCTTTTCACTGTGTCAATGGAAGTTTTTTCTTGTTTGCTTGCTAGGGTTGTTAGTGAGTGTCAAATTCCTTTTCATCCTCGTTGCAAGCATTAGATATTACACATCTATACTTTGCAGGCGATTTTTTGGTATTCACTAATTGCTCAGTGAGAGGAGTAGCAAGGATTCGAAGATTACTCAATCAGTTCTATAGTATATCAAGGCTTCAGTGCAATGTGCATAAATGTAGTTTGTTTTGTGCTGGGATATCAGCAAAAGTAGGAGGATATTTCTCGAGAGTCTGATTTTCCACTTGGGCAGTTACGAGTACGTTACTTGGGTGTCCCATTAATTACTGTCAGACTGAGTTTATTGGATGTCAAGTCCTCATCGAGAAGATCAGATGTGTATCAAAAGTTGACAAGCTAGGTTTCTTAGCTATGCAAGATGTCTCCAGCTTATCGACTTTGTTATCACAAGTGTCCTCCAATATTGGATGACCATTTTTATTATGCCTACGAAGGTGTTGGAGGAAGTTGAAGGTATCTATAATCGTTTCTTGTGGGGAGTTGGTGTTGAAGGTGCTAAAAAACGTGTGCCTATTGCTTGGCCTTATGTTACATAGCCACGAAAGAGGACTGGTATCGACTACTTCAAAACTTGTTACCCGACATGTTTGGCCTGTTTTGGGGCGGGTCCGACCTGCCTTGTAGGCGGGGCGGGCGGGCATGGGTACTCTCATCGACCCGACCTGTCCTGACCCGCCCCATTCTCAACCCGTTCTTGCCTAAATTACATGAAATCTTAGTCAAATTACTTAGGATTTTTCTTTTCTACATCATATTTTAGCTATTATAAAATTGTAAATTAGTGAAAACCTCAATTTCTCTAATAATTTAAATACATTTATCATAATATTATTTGTTTTCTTGGTCTTATAATAAAAATAATAACGAATAATTCTAATATTTTTCATATAAATTGCATACCCATTGGGTCGATCTCACCCGACCCGCGACCAGTGATAAATTACCTGATCTGAACCCAACCTGCCACGGGACGGGTCTGAATACCAAGAAACCCCCCGGACCTGCCCATTGTCATTCCTGATGTATTGTTTTGAGAAGAGGTTCTGCGGTTGCAGCCTCTAGGTTTTAATGGAATTTTTTATTAACAAAAAAAAAATCAATAATATCCTTACCTATTGTGTATTTTAATTGGTATTTATCATTTTCATGGTCAATTATTTTGTTTAAGATAACTATCAGATGTGATTTTTTTGGAAATATAGTTGATATATATAAAAGTAAAATATTCTAAGCACATAATGAAATTCAGTTTTTTAAAGTGTTGGGCCAAATATGAATTTCGTCCTACATTATTTTCCCGAAAAATAAATTTGAAATTGTTGATGCCCTCTCGATCTACCGTCTCTTCTTCCGTACCAGCTGACTCTCTCCCAATGAAGCCTGCACTCACAGAGGTGGGCCTTGTGGCCCGTTAGTCCTCCAACGCTCAAGTCAGTATCCTTCTTAGAGAGAGAAGTGCTGGTCATGCACAATTTTTAGCGAGAGAAGCCCAAATTGAGTAAATGCTTACCCTCCTCGCTATTTATAGCCGATCATTGCTTACCTGGACCTTATCGTACGGACTTCCACGTCAGCCCTACCTTTAGTGCGGGTGACCCGGGGCGCTTCCTCCAAAGGAGATTCCCGGCGCCCTCTCTAAATACACAATTCCCACGTGCACACCCAGGCCCCTCCGGTGCGAGTACCCCTAGGCGCCTAGTGTATGCAACTTCCAACGTGCCCTTGATCCAAGCCCGAAGGCGCCTATCATGGCCCACCCCATATTGACTGGGCTCACCTTTCCCCGAACTACTTAGGCTTCGTGCTCTTAACTGGGCCTCACCCATACATCGAGGCCTCCTTATTCGTATACCCCCAACAATTGCCCCCCAGTTAGGTGCTCAAATTTGGATTCTTTGAGCGCCTAACTATTAGACTTGCTCTTTTCTTTTCCAACCTTTCTCACGGCCGTCGTTTGCCCCCCAATCATTGGGCCCCCAATCGTCTCTCCTCGGGGCGCACGGTATTTGGCTTCCCTGTTTCTTAAGCAGCCCCCCCCCCCCTGCGCGCCTAGGCGCATTGCGCTATCATTTGTTCCTTCCTCAAGGCGCCCACGCCTGCTTACAGTTGATTGTCAGGCGCCTTTTCTTATCCGGGTGCATTAATATCTCTCCTCACCTCCCTCGCCTTGTGCCCTAGCCTTCCGGACAAGCCAAAGCGCCGCTCTTCTTCTTCAATACAAGGCGCCCCACCTCGATTCGCCTATTGCCCGGCCGCCATTATACCCACGCGCTTCTGTCAAAGGCGCCGTCGTTCTCCCTTGACCGAAGGCGCCCCTCGGTTTCGCCCATTGCCGGGTCGCCGCTACGCCTAGGCTGCCTCGATTTCGCCCGTTGCCCGGTCGCCGTTGCGCCCGAACTGCCTCCTGACCCACGCGTCTCTGTCAAAGGCGCCGCCATTCTCCCTCGACGAAGGCGCCCTATTTCTTCCCTTGACGTCAGGCGCCCCCCGATTTCGTCCGTTGCCCGGTCGCCGCTGCGCCTAGGCTGCCTCACTCCTGCCCCCCTTCACAACCGGCGCGATATTCGAGGTGGTTGTGAATTTTGCCACGTGGTAGTTGGCACGATATTCGAGGCGCTCCCGTTTTCTTTAAATGTAAGTCGAGTCTTAGCATGGTTCTTCACTCGCCCTCAATTTGCCTTCTCACTCTAGCTTCTCTCTCTGCTTTGCCTCGCTCCCTTTTTTAGCGTTCGACTTTCCTCGCCACGATGTCTCTCCCCTCCGACGTTGCCGCCACCGCCGCGGGCTCCTCTCAAAATCAAGGGGGCCCCTCCAAGACCGGTAAGCCTCTCTCTCCTTTTTTTTTTTTTTTTTTTTTTTTGCGCGAATGTTTGTGTATTGTTGCGATGGAGGCGCCTCTTACTGCTCCAATCGGTTGTGCGCCTACTTGACTTGTTTTAGTGGAGGCGCCCGCATTGTCACCCATTCCGACGCCTTCCTCGAACTACGACGTGCCGGACGATGGGTCGTACAAGATTACTACTTGGGAAGGCACCTGGCCGCCAGAGTATGCGCCCTGGGAGACTACATGTTTGCCGACGAATGTGGCAGGGCCTGAACATAACTCCACCATCTCGGCGCCTTGGATGAAGAGCCTGATCGATGGGCTCGGGCTCCCCCGCACCTGGACGTATGCGCCTCCGTCGCCCATGGCCAGGGTGGGGTTGTGCGGGCCTCGTTGGTTGGGAATATATCAGGAGTATTTCCGGTTCGGGCTCCGATTTCCCATAGATCCAATATTGGAGGGTATCCTGGAGTATTGCGAATGCACAATCGGGCGCCTATCCCCGTCCGTGATACTTATTGTTGTGCTCTTCAAGCTGAAGTGCCGAATTCATCATGTGCGCCCAACCTTCAACCTATTCCGCCACTTTTTCTCAGTGATTTCTCGGGACAACTGTCTGTCCTTAAAGCGGCGGAAGAAATTGAAGGCCCATTTCGTGACGAAGTGCCCTAAATTGGGGCGCACGTGGTTCAACGGGTTCTTCTTTATAAAGGCGCATAGGGACTATTTCTTTGAAAGCGGAGGCGCCTTTAGGACCGACTGGGAGCTTGGTATTGAGGCGCGCTTCAACGCTACCGTTGTCCTAAGTCGCGAAGAGCGAGCCGGGGCCGCCCTAATAAGCGCCTCGCCTGTCAACTTGCGCCCCACTGAAGCGCGGGCGCCTATTTTAGAAGAATACTATGCGGATGGTGTGTTGATTGCCTTTTTTGCCCTTGGCATTTTCTTTTGGGCGCCTTAGCTAACCCTTGGTTTTGCTTGCAGGTACGAGGTTTGGGCGCATTGCTGACTTGATTAAGAGTCGGTATGAAAGGATGACTTTGGAGGAGCCTCGACAAGGAGGGTCGAACCTGGGGGAGTCTTCCCCTGCCTCTGTCTCTACTCCACAACCTCTGGTGGCGCCTATGGATAAAGGGAAGGAGAAGGCGCCCGGGGAGAAGATAACCGGGGCATCGAGTGGGGCGTCCACACCCTTGGGCGCAGATGGCATGAAAGACCACGTCGTGATTGAGGACATGGATGATCAAGAGGATGAAGTGCCCTTGATCAGTCGTGGGAAGAGAGGAGGCGCCCCACTGTCCCCACCAGCAAAGCGGCATAGAGCCAACCAAGGAGAGGGAGGCGCCTCCAGTCAAGGCGATGCCCAT